CTTTTTGTACAAATTATTTATTATTATTACCCTCCAAAAATGTCATGAGTTTTTCCATCTACCTCCTTAACATTCATATAAACATACATGTACATAAGAATATCACATATATTTGATGTACATGGTAAATAAAAAAATCTTGCTTCATTATTCTAAATGTAGATTTCAAAAAAATTAATCATACAATAAATAACATATGTGTACATATATATTGTAACCGCTGCAGTGGAGAACGAGCTGCTGCTCCAATTTGTCGAGTGCGTTTATCGAACGGTGGGACCTACGGTTTATTATAAGCCGCTTCCAAAATGTTATGAGTACTTTTTTACTTCCATATAATTTTTGTTGCTGGTCTGGCCAAGGTTCGAACCCATGTCCCTCCGCATGCTAGCACGATTGCAAACCACTCGGCTGCTGCTACCTACACAAATGCCTATGTATATATATAAATAAAAAGTAAAAATTAAATCAATTTTAAAGATTATAAATATTAAGTAAATAATTACCTATAGTAAAATTGGTGCATTATTACGTTGTATTTAATGTTGTCATGTTCTTATAGCGCGAATTATAGAATAAAATTAATTAAAAAAACAAAAAAAAAACTAACATAAAACAAAGCATACAAATATACATTTAAACAGTATTTAGCAGTAATTTATATATACATTGGATACATAAACCAAATAACCTCAATTCAATAGATGGAATGAAATATATTAAAAATAGCCTAAACAAAATGATCTAGATAAATAATAGTCCTAAATAGCTGTAGTTTTACACAATACATATTTTATAGCAAATTTAAAAGGAAAAACCATACATTCTTAATAATAATGATAATAATGATAATAGTAAATTTATGCAAAGGAACATATCTACAATTTGTATTTTCATAACGCCAAGTATGTACGTATAAAATTAACGCTCAAACCTTTTTGTATTTCAAAAACCAAAACAAAAGTAAAAAATGACTCATCATATGCAACAAGAACGTAATAAATTTAACTGTTGATTTCGTGTTACCTGGACTACTCATGAGTTAATGAAGAGTAACTCTCTCATTAAATTTCATTTGATGTCTTAAAAGCGTTCATACAATTTTCGTAAACGTATGCAATAAAAATAAAATAAATAGCCTTTCAACTGAGATGGCCTTTGTCAAAATCAGCTACCGACATTTTAACCAGAAAATTTGTAGGCTCAAATAAATCTTTGGATATGAAAGAGTAGCAAAGCTTTCAATAATATGGAAAAGTTTGAAGTGCGAGCTCCCGCCTAACCTCTAGCAATGAGTAACTCGTATTAATAATAAGTACTTATGTTGGTGTTTAACATCGAAATTTGAGGATAGCAAACTGTTGGCAAATTAATAACACTCCTCAGTCCATTGTGACTAGTCGTACTATTGATATACCAATAGAGAGTGGCATTTGCCTCTATGTATGTACATCTGTAGGAACTGAAGGCGGCAAATATGTAATACTGTCGCTTGTATCTTGCAAAATCGCTGCATCATTAGTTTTCTTCTTGTTTCTAAAATAACTGTCATTTGTCGGTTAAGATGGCTGCTTGTAGATGTATTATTGTATTTTGTCATTTAATTACTGATATAACGGTGGTGAATGTTGCATGCAACAAGTTGACAAAATGTCTCCATTAAATGGGGGTTAAAGCTAGCCAATTAATTCGATGAAGGGAAAATAAACAGAAATTAGTTATTTATGTGAAAATATTTTCTGGAGTCGAATTATGAACTGTTAATGATTAATAATAAATATTTGGAAATTTGCATGAAAAGAGCCGATATTTTGTTTTGCTGATATCTTGACAAGTGACCAAATGTGCCCAGATGTAGGCATTTTCAAGGGAAGATAATTAATATTAAATTCATCAAGTTGGCATTGTTATATGTATGTATCATATACTAAAGGTTTACATCATCTGTATTGAAATATTTTGTGTATGATGCCAATGTGAATAAGGACATCGTCTACCTCATGAACAATAGTGTTTTTGTAAGCATTTCTGTTTCAATAAATAACAACAACTTATGTTGCGATTATACATATGTATTAGCGAAATTTTTGCGTCATGTGAAATAATTGAATTAAGTATAAGTCCCAAGATATTTGTATAAGACCACATTATCTACTTTTTATGTGTATGTATGTAAACTAATGCATTCATATTCATAAATGCATATTATTCCTCTGTGTATGTGTATGTTGTTGTATTTAGCAAAGCTTTCGTCAAAAACATATGTATTATACATCTGACTTATAATATTCAATGACGGTATTTTTATTGTAAGCATTCAAATAATAAACGATAATTCAAAATCATATTAACGGAGATTAGTTTGGAAGACGCCAGATTGTGGAATGAAGTATTAAAGGAAAAAGTATGCTGCAGATAACGAATAAATCGTGTTTTATTTAAAAAACTGTATTTAGGTGTTTCATTAAGCATTTTATTAAAAAGGACTTTGATTGCAGGGGGTTTAAGCGTGCAGCACCTTATACTCAATAGCCCTCGCTCACTCATGCATGTAATGCATTGAAGCAATAAACTTGAAATTATCTAATAGAAGCTACCAGCATTAGGAACGGCTGAAACAAACTCCGTTCAGAACGAAACACTCTCGTGCAGCATTTTTCATGAACGACAGCGTTCAGTTAATTCCCAGCGTAACAACGGAATAGTCATCCCGCACCATCTCTAATTTTTCCTTCGAAGCACTCCTTTAAGAGTCGGGTACCCCAAGGGTATAATTTATTAACAGCTCCCTTTTCCAAATAATCCTCGACTCTTACCCCTAATGCTTAGGCACAGGATAAAAAGTAGATCAAAATTCTATATTCTGCTAACATACCTACTCACTTATCAAGAAGTGAAATATTCTGTTATGGAATCAATTCCATTCTCATACGTGTATGTATGTATGTATGTACATGCGAACGAATACTTTTTTACACTCATACCCTATATGAATGAGTCCTTGCCTAAGGTAATGCCAGTTCATGTATGAATTCGTAACCTACAACAAGAGCAGCACGAAGTGGACGAAGTGGATTTCACTTTCATTTTCATTTCTGATAGAGCGGATTGAAATTCTATATGCTTTCATATACATACATATGTACATATGTACATCAAAGGGTCAAAGACCCAACGAGTTGTCTATTGAAAGCTCAGAAACGGAGCTTTTTCTGCAACTTGCTGTTTGTTGTACATAAAACGTGTATGTATATGTATCTATGTGTTGGTTGAAGTTCCAGAAAATATGTGCATATGTACATTCAAAGCTGGTGAAGTATAATATTGTATAATACTATATTTTTTGTAATACATGTATAAATGTATAACACATTTCAGTTTGCTCTTTGAATTGGAAAATATTTGCTTAAATTTCTGCACAACTTCCGTGTACCTGCAGAGCTCACCAACGAAACTGACTCATATTCAGTTTTTAACATTTTCGGTACATAAAACTTAAGCCGGTGGCAGGAATGACTTCTATACGCGTTGCGTGACAGATTTACTTTGACGACTAAGATGATGCAACTTTACCTAATATTCCTCACCATTAGACCATTTGCTGATTTTAATTTCCATTTATTTTCTAAACTACAAAGAATTAAAATGGAATACTTCAAAACAAATCCAATACTTACTTATTTAGTAAAGATTTAATTGAAGAGAAAAATGGTCATTGAGTCATAGCATTGTCGATTTTCATGTCACGCAACCCACAAAAGTTGTATCTGCCATCGGCTACTACCTAGTTGCTATTTTGCTTAGTTATCTAGATCGATAAAAGACAGGGGCTGATTACCATTCAAAAAAAAATTTGGTTGAATTCATACCACATCGAATTAAGGTTCTGAAGAAGGAAGGGAGGCTTTACTTAATATTAATGAGTGATTTTTGTACAATTTAATTACGTTATAAAAGTGTTTTGCTTCAGAGTGTTCAGAGTGTATGTAGAATACATTATTGGCATTTTCATAACCACTTTTGGCGTCCAGGATATTAATTTTTGTTATGAGTTTTTATTGAGCGAATGGCCTGGTTTGTTTGTATGAATTGAACATTTCCTCATCAGATTTCTGATGGCACGGATCGAACCAACGGAGCTGACTTAACTGGCGAGTGCTCCACCACTGCCATGTAATCTGTTGTTGTATTATTTAATTCATAATTTACATTAAAAATCATCGAAGCTCGATATGCTCATAATAGTTATAAAAACATAGCCAAGACAGAACTTTTTTCCATTTCGTTCTCTATTAAAATTTGTTAGAAACTAAATGCTTTCATCTGCATTTACATACACGTATATTTATTTAAAATATTACATCATTTCGTAATATCGTAAAGCAAATTGTAAATTGCGCTCAATGCGTTAGTGTTATATTTTATATTATTCTCAATTGGCGGCTATTCGACATAACGTCCCTCCAACGTGCTATCATCTCAGATCTGATAACTATATATTGGTCTTCCGTAAAGATGTTGAATGATAGAGTGGACAATGTATACAGAACGTTTCATTTTTTCATCGTAAACAACAACAACTTATAGTCTTCTATGAGAAATCATCGTCACCAAACCAATAATTAATTTTATGCGTTAAAAATATCTTAAAAAAATACTTTTTTTAGAAAACATTTTATGCTTAGAAAAAAAATGTATGCACATATCTGAAAATAATTAGATATAATATTATATAAGACAATGTTAATACTTTAACTACAAATATGCATACATCTATTATTTTGTAAAATGTATTATAATTATAGAGATCCATAAAAGAATTGTAAGAAAACCAATCTATTATTTTCTAAAAGTTATATCAAACTGATACACAATTATTATTTTAAATAGTTAACGTTTGTTGTTGGTTAGAACTTTCCAGAAAAACTTTTAAGACTGATCTATTTTCAAAGAAACTAATTCCTAATTTTATCTTTTCTCTCCAAACATTCACACAATAGACATCAAACTTTGCCGAAGATTTATTGGAACAACCACTCTCCGCTTTATCACCATCGCTAACCAAGCCCTTGCATTGTCAAACATCGACGGCTGCTGTGCTGCGCAATTATCGTCACAATCCAATGATTGGTGGTCCATGTGTCCTACCATCGCCACCTTTTGGTCCGGTCGTTAATAACGACAGCTGTGCAGACACTTGTAGCAGCGAAGTCAGCCCTTCGAGTGTTACACCAGTCGATGCTGAGTCCACTTCAGATAGCGGTATTGATGACATTTGTGTGATGGAAACTTCATCGATTAAGTTACAATTAGATAAATCAAAAGAGCTAAGTGTCAAACCAATCACTGGATGCTCAGCCGCCACCAAAGATATGCTATTGATGAAGTGCTTGAACAACAAAGCAATCAAAAATCGTGCCTCAATGGGTCTTGCGGCTAGTGAGACACAACTGAAGCAGCAGCAATTTCCTCCGCAGCCCGCTGCTGAGAGAATCGATGGTGCAGCAGCCATTGGCATTATTAACGATTGCGGAAATTCTAAGGGTTCTGTAAAAACTTCCTCAGATAATATAAATCCATTAATGGAACCGTTTATAATGGAATTGTGCAATGATGACTATGATGTTCCTACCGAGCCGTTTTTAGGACCAAACGAAATCGATCATGTCCTTAATGACTGGGCCCATGAAATGGCCTAGTTGAAGGAGAGTTTGAACAAGACGACATTAAAAAAAGAACTAAACCGGACGAGAAAATGAAACGGACTAAGAGACGATAACTAAAGGAACAAAATAAAGAAATTAAGGGACCAGGTTGGGGATGTGTTACATATTCTACGGATTTGAGCGTAAATGTAGAAAACAAACAAATAATTTTATAGGACAAAAACAAAGCATTTTTACGTGCTCTAAAAGAATTGTAACGGTAACTGTTAATGAAGGCAACGAATTTCAATTGACGAAGTGCTGACTGTAGAGTTTTTAGATGGTGACGATAGTAACGAACGTTTTTAAATATGGACAATTTTATTTGATTTAAACATTTTTCTTGTTGCCATAGCTAAAGCAGTTGCTTAAGATGAACATGAATTGGAGTTTTTTTTTAAGGGGAGTCGGTTTAAAGAAACGGGAGCAAAGGGAAATACATGCAGAAATTTATTAATGAATACTTTATTTACTACAAAGTGCATACATCATCTTCTGGACTGTTTAAAAGTTACCTTAGTCAGGCGATAAGAAGAAGATATTACAAAAGAAAAATGTCGCTTTACATATGTAATAAAATCTGGTAAGCAACTACTGAAAGAAAAAAGACGTCTGGTTGAAAAAGAATATGATAATAACAAAGAAAATTTGAAACTCAAAAGCGAAACAACACAAGCTCGGATGCAACTCATTTTTAAAGGCCTTTATTTCTTTCATCAAAGTAAAAATTCAGGTGGTTCTGGGGTTGAGTTGTACACGGTTATGTATTGAAAGGTATGCAGAAGGCAATTACGTAAAGCCTCAGAGGTATAAGTTAAATGGGATTATTATGTACGAAGGACGACAGTAAATTTTAAATTACTTAAGATTTCATTTCTACTTCGTTTTGTATTGCATTTTTCGATCATAATAGATATGAAACTGTAAAAAAAGGGAAAAATAGTGTAAAATAAATAACAATTATTTTTACAAATTCTTTCTTACCTTATGCTGTATATGAAACTGTAAAAAAGAGAAAAATAGTGTAAAATAAATAACAATTATTTTTACAAATTCCTTCTTACCTTATGCTGTATCCGAAGAATGAGTTTTTACGTGACCAGCAAATGCAATCCTGTGTACATCTTTTATCAACAGGAATACAATATTTTGCGAAAAAAACAACTGTTAAAACAAAAAGGAATATACAAAATAAACACACACTTTATAAATATATTTAAAAATTTTATTAGTTTTAACTTTTTACTGCCCAAAACAGAAATAAACTTGGTTAGATATGTAAGTCGAAATCTTTACACATATATACATATATAGTAAAAGCAAAAATAAAAAAAAAATAAAAAAAACAACAAAAACCTATAGTTTTTGTGCGCAAAATGTTCAATAAAGTAATTTTTATTATTTGTCTCTGTTAGAGAAACCTTTAAAGAATCAAAAATTTTTTACAGCTGAATATAAGAAATATTTCAGGTTTTTTAAGAAACACATATGTACATATTTGCGATACGTAAAAAAATTAAATAGCCAATATAAAATATATTCCATAATCCAACACAAAAACTATGAACAAAAAAATATTCAGTTTATTTTAAGCGATAGATTTAGTAAAAGCAAAAATAAAAAATGCAGTTATTTATATTAAAATGTCTAAACATAAATATTGAAAATAGCGGAGTGGATTACAGATTACAGATTACAGAAAACATATTGTTATACTCAACATATTTGTATGAAACAATTATTTTGGCTCCAAGTAGTTTATAAAGAAAAATAATTTCTCGAAGCATTTAATCGTACAAAAGGCAGTGAAAGTTTTTGTCTAAACACATATTAAAGAAATATTATACATAAGGGGTATGTGTGCAAATGCCTTATTAAAAATATATGTACCATTTTTGTCTCACACTGTAGAGCCTAAGCTATATTTCTTATTAATTTTTCATATGTGGTCAGTTTTTATTCCTGAGTTCTAGCTTTTTGAATAAAAAATTAAACAATTTTTAGAGCACTACTTTTGGCTCCAGTTATATAAAGTACAGATATTAAAATTTACAATTTACATTCAATTAAATTTGTTTTTAAAACTTGTAAAGGTATGTGTGTATGTATTTTCATTTTGCAATTTCAAAATTTACATTTTCTCTCTGATTTTAAGTGGTTTTATTAAATGCATTTCATATATGCAGAAATTAAAAAAAAAAAAAAATTGTTTGCTGTTTTTGTCAAAATGAGTTGAAAACACAGAAAAAAACTGATAAAAGCTTTCCACATTCATAAACTTTCTCCGCAGAAGCATAGTTACAAATTAAAACATTTACCAATCAAGAAAATATAAAATTACGTTACGTTTTTATCAATTTTACTGCAGTTGATAAGCATTTCAATTATTGTAATTTAATCTCCGCAAGTTGTTGTAGTTTCCTTAAGGCATAAATAATAACTTGTAATATGTGGCAATTTTTATTCATTAGTACCATTATCCACAGAGAAAATAATGAGAAAAAAAAACAAAAACCAAAACATAAAAAAAATATTTGTAGTTTAATTTTTGGATTTTATGCTCACTTTTTGTTATTTCTGTTTCGGCAACAATTTGCACATAAATGCATATGAAATTATGAGTTTAATACTAAATAAATATTAATTGAATCGTAAATTGTAATAAAAAATGTGTTTTTATTTCGTGAAGAGTTACGAAAGTAAGTATAAAAAATGTTAAAATTATGGTTGATTTGCATTTATACAATTTTTTATCTTTAATTAAAGCGTACGTAGGACTTCAGTAGCTCAAGTAATTGTGTTTCCGGATTAGACCATATGCAAGTTGGATATGCGTCCGTGCAGCTAGTACGTGTTTTTGTTTTACCGGTCTCAATGGTTTTTCTTAATTCTGCATAAGGTAAAAGACCATTCAAAATCCAATCAAAGCTGGTCAAGGCGTCTATGATTTTCTCAAAGCTAGTAGCGATCCCATGACGTACTTTTCGATCTGATTCCTGCAGTATTAGACATACAGCTTTCTGTGTACAACTCGCGATGTCAACTTTATTGTTGAGAAATGTTTCTTCAATGTGGGCGAAAAAATTCGGCAATGTAGTCTCTGGAGAAAATAAATTATGCAAATAATTCCAAAACTCCAATCTATTTATGTATGATATTGTAGTTATATCTAATTAACTCAAACGGCAATAACACTCATACCTATTCTGTCGCCAGTATCGTTTTTGTAAACCAAGCGAAAGTGATCGAAGAAATTTTTCGAGTCGTCAAAACGTTGCGATTTCGCTTCCGCTTCGTGACCGTTCTCCTCCTGTATCACTTTTTCATTTCCAACAGAACGTCCTCTGAAGAAATTAAGAGATCTTATAATATGCGCCACTAAGATGCTGCCTCCAGCTATTAGGCCACCGGTTACCAAGGATGCTATATTTATATTTACCATGGCCTGTAATATATTACGTTAAAGTTTCGCAGCTTTGCTTAATATTTCTGCTTAATAATATTTACTGGAGAATTGCCATTTTTGTCTTTATACTGCTTCATTGGTACTTTGAGAAAAGGCATCTCAAAATTCAAACCTAAGGCCACATCGCTGCCCAGAGGACGGAATGAGAAAAAGCTATTGCGTCCAATTCGTTGTACGGTTGAAGAACCAGAAGTGGCGTCTGTGGCATACAAAGCCAGTGGCAAGTGCACCATCACGAATGCATTGAGAAGTATACTCACTAGGAACTTCATTTTGAATTTTTTGACTTTACTGATTTTCCGTCTGCCTCGGGAAGACGTCTGTCTACTTCTGCAAGAAATTTGAGCAGGGAACACTGCTTTATACGGTTAACGTTATTCAGTTTTGAAATAATTTCCTTTAATAAAGTGCTATGCTCTGCTGCTCTTTCGAATTGCAGATTAATTTGACTGCTGCGTAATTTAGGTTAGCTGAAGCAATGCAGAGCTGCTCATGTAACCAACTATAATAGGCCAAAATAAGTGTATTCATTTGCACTTGTGCGCTACGGTCTTTAAAAAGGTGATATAATTCTAATTATTGTATATTCAAATAAAATATACATACCAGTATATTTTATATGCAATAGGTTGATAAGTTGTCGCTCTACTTTAGTTTTTATTTAGAAATGTAATTCTTATACCGCCACTTACACCGTTACTCAACAACTAGTCTGTATCAAATAAGCGAGTGTGAAAGCGATTTGCTAATGAGCGTATAATTTGTCAACTTTGCGAAAATGCTATCAAGGTCAGAGGAAATAGGAACACCACACTCGCTGAAATAATTTCAAAGAAGCTTCAGATACAGACGGATTCGACAAAACTTAAACTGGTGGTGGGACATTTTTATTTTCTGATGTAAACAAGATACGAGTTTTTGAGATCTTTTTTTCTGTTGGACCTCTTGTATCAACATACATGTACTCGTAAGCACGATGATGATTTTCTCTATCAACAACCCATGACACAGCGTTTTTCTTCATATTCGCTTCCTTTATAGGCAATTATTTCTCGACGTAAGACGTAACGAAGCGATAGCAGAAAAAATGGAGCTAACGCTATAGAGGAATGTTGAAATCCTCTGAAGCGATTATTGAGGTAACGGTATATGAGGTAAATGTTTGTTTGAAACTTCATGAAGAGGCTAGCGGTGTCTTACGAACACCCAAATTGTAACAATTAATACAATGATAAATTACAAAAGTAATAAATATATATTTTTGGCACTTATGCTCACTGAATGGGTTTGTTACATAAAAGTAGTATAATTTTATATAAAAGAAAATCACTTGAGTATATTCATTATCGTCTTAGTGCAGCCTTCCAATATAGTGCGACATTAAATCCACAGCTAATTTCCAAGCTTTGTTCTGTATTTTTGGCCATTCACAATTCCGATATGTTTGCTCACATTGGGATGTATCCTGCATAAGGCCAGACTCGATAGCATCTCTTAAAGCTGTTCCATTCAAATATACTTTCAAAGATTCCAAACTAAACATAAGATATAAGAGAACCGTAAAACTAAATACTTAGAATTCTTACAAATGCTATTAAAAGGACTAACCCGACGAGTCCATCGATAATTCGATCTGATGGTGTACCTAGCCCAGCCCGTACGTCTGTTGTAGCCCGGTGAACGTAACTACATATGACTCGTTGAGCGCAACTCGTTATATTTATATTATTTGCGAGAAGGCTTTTCTCCAAATTTTCGAACACGTTTAGTCCTTTGAGAATTGTAAAATAATAAAAATATAATAATATTTCTTTAACATGATTCTTACCTTCTTTGAATATCGGTGCATTACTACCAATATTCAAATCATCTAAGAAACCTGTAGCTCGGGATGTTTTTTTGTAGCCATATCCATAGAATGAGGGCAGAATTGCTGTTTTCACTACTGACGCAATAAGAGCACCCAAAATTGCAAATCCGCTGCTCAGTAGCAAGGTACCGGAGTTGAGATCAGTCAATTTTCGAAAGGCCGTTTGTGTGAATGCGACACTTCGGGCTATAGGAATGCGAAGGAACGGTACGATGAACTCCAAATTTATGGAGAGATCTCTGCCATCAGCCTCAAAATGTATACCGCGAGCATTTCGTTTTTCGTTTTCGCTGAGAACACTTTCACTTTCTTCTCCATTAATTGCTTTAGCCTCTAAGTCTACTTTTGGAGACATTTTAGTTCTTGTAGAAGCTGCTGTCCAAGTATATTCGCTTATAGAACGAGGTTCGAAATCGTGAAACCGAAAGGAGTGGACCATTGTACCACCTTCACTAAGTGCCTTGGTAGTCGTAGTGTTATCAAAGTTCTTCTTGGTAAATTTCAAAAACTGATGTTTACTTTCTTCGACCTTTCCGCTAGTCGTGTGAATGCACGTTGGATGCAATATTAGTAGAAATATAAGAAGGGTGCCGGGGATGCCCGAAAGACACCTCCACCAATCGCCGTTACGAAAATTACTCCGCATAGCTCTGCTGTTGACTTACGAACGATTGGTTGATATCTGAACGCGACTTGCAGCATATTTATGTTTATATGAATGGAATACAAAAATTAAAAATGAGCAGTTAATATCTAGCGTCGCAACAGCCAGTTGCATATGAAGTAAAAAATACTCAAAATGATGGTGAGGAAGGTGACAAACGGTGACGATATAGACACATACTTGTTGTTTGGAATATTTACGCTTTATGGTTACCAAAAAAAGCAAGAAATAAAAACAAATTCAAGACAGTGTCTTAGGCAGCCGAGAGCAGACTGGTAAGCTAACCCCATATAGTTATTCGGAATACACTCCTTTTGAGTGGGATTAATATTTAGTGAGAATAAGAAGCTTGGATTCATTGATCTGCAAACAAAATTTATTGAAACACACATTATTTTTAATCATTTTCCGGTCTATTTCGAAAATGGTTACTTGTGTTTTTGAAATTAATGTTAACCCCTTGAACGGCTCCTTGTTCATACATATGTACGCAAATATTTTCTTTTATTCTTCTTTAATTTTGATTAATCTTTTCTGTTGAACAAACTCGCAAACGGTTACGCTTTGTAAACTTTGCGGATAAAACTGTGAATTAAAGTGATTAAGTGTTTGGTGGCTTAAGAGACGTTTGTACAACTACGAATGCACATGCATATGTATTTCAACCTTTTATTAAAGTAAACATCAGAATCTTTTTGTCCCAATGCACATATCTTATCAACTCATTTCACTTTTAGAAAGAGTATATATTTGCGGCGTTATAACCGCTGAAGCTATTCGTTAAGATTTAACTAATACCAAATATTAAACTTCCCATTATATTATTGATCTAGCTACGTATACATACATATATAAAGAATTGAAAGTTTGCCGTTCTATTATTACAGCGGCTGAGTTATTATTTACCTATTCATACAAATGCACGCGGCTTGTCAGTGATCCCCATCCAGAACTAAGGTATTCTTTGTGTAGGAAATCGCCACAAAATTTTGCTTGGTGACTTCAACTTCATCTTCGCCCAGCTTTGGGAAAACTCAGCTACCACGACGAAATATCCCCAAATGGGTTGAGTCTGACCAATTTCGTCGGAGCCCAAAATATGGTTGTCTATAGTACTAGATTCCAGAATCAGAAAATTCACCAACCTACTTGGCTGTCTCCAGATCGAAAGACCCATAACCATATCGATGGTGTTGTGATAGACTGAAGACATGTATCCATGTATTTTAGATGTGCGTACGCTCCGCGGTCCTAATATGCACGCTCCACTGTGTATCAAAGAACGTCCGTCAGAAACGATGACGAAAAGCTGCAATCGCAATAAACTGCCAAACGATTTTTTAACCGGCTTTCACACCTGCTTTCTGAGAGCACTCATCAGGGACTTCATATAACTCTGGAACGGCATCTCAAACTCCCTCCGTACCGCTACGGAAACAATTGTGATTCGGCCAGCTGGTGCGATAAGGAATGTCTGGAAAACAAGCAGCCTACGTCGCAACCTTGCGATCGACCACAACATGTGCGGGGTGGTATATATTATAAAACAGGACGCATTTGCAGGAGAAAAGAAAGGGGCCGAAGAGTATGAAGAGCTTGACCAGCTGGCAGACAATTGTAATACTCCAAGGCTCTACGAAAAGATGCGGCGGCTTGCGGAGAGTTTCAAGACCGGATCAAACTCGTTTAGTACCCAGAAGGGTGATCTGGTGAATTTGTGAAGGGAACACATCTCTAGCTTACTGAACGGCGGTGAAAATGAAACACTCGGAGATGGTGAACTCGAAATTCCAATCGATAATGATAAAAAAGACGTTCCACTACCCAACTATGTCAAGATTACCATATTAAAGAACAAAAAGCGGCTGGAGCTGACGGTGGTGGAGAGGTGCATGCATCAGCATTTTCGCAAAATATGGTCGGATGAAAGCATGTAAGTATAGAATGTAAGTGTGTTCTGAACAATTCACAAAATGGAAAATCCACAGTTTGCGGAAATTACCGTGACACTAGCCTCTTAAATATCACATATCGTATTGTGTGAAAGACTAAATCCCACCGTCAACAAACTGGGTGGACCTTATCAGTGTGACCTTAGACCTGGAAAATTAACAATTGAAAGTACGAAAGGGAGCTGCCTCTATGCCGCTATGTCTGAATTTGGTATCTCCGCAAAACTTATACGGTCGTCCGAATCGATAAAAGCACTCCAGCTTTAAAAGTATTTGATGCAGTACCCGCTGGCTGAAGCATAGGAAGAGTAAGACCTCCTCCTTTGGAATGATCAGGTGGAGAGCGACCTGGTTTCATTTGGTATTTCAGCGAAAAGAAGAGAGGAATGGCGCGCAATAATACAAAGGTTCGGCTATAAGCGGTTCCAGCGCCAATAAAGAAGAAGAAGAATTCATAATCTAGAAAATAGCTACCAATTTACTAAATTTCAAAGAAATCGATTTCGGTCTATTTAATATATAAAAAACTCGTATTACAGTGTTAGACATTATACTCCTCCGAAACGGCTTGACCGATTTTAATGAAATTTTGTGTATATCCAGTAGGTCTGAGAATCGGCTGGCCTATTTTTCACACCGAGAAGAGGACTTGGAGCTGATCTATTCGGGATATTTTAATCTATAGTTCGAATTACTTTAAATTTAATAAATAGGTTGCCTTTTGATTAGTTTAACAGGACCGATCTATTCGAAAATATCGTTTCTATGGTTTCGATGAATATGCAAAAAATTGTCGGAAATGGGCCAAGGGTCATCTAGCAGATATATTCATATAAGGGATCTGTTCCATGCATTTACGTGCGTAAAGCCGAGCAATTCCATAGCGAATTATACAGAATATATATATATATATATGTATATATATATATTTATATCCAGGTGAGAGAAAAAATAACTCTCAAAATAAGACATGTGGTTAATTTTTTCCAATGAGAAACTCTCTTGTTGAAAACAGTTTATAGTTCTTCCTACATTGATAGCGGCTGGACCGAAAATTCGACTTTATTAAAAGAATCCCGAGGACCGAAACATTCGATTCACTTGAAATTTAATTTGTTGGTTGCTTATCGTTTAGATTAACATGCAGAAACTGGTTCTTATTAATTTGTAGTTAAATTTGCTTGATTACTTTTTTTGCGTTTGTATGGCTGCTGGAACTTTTCTTAATTTAAGTAATTTTATGCGTTTTGTCCATGTTCGCGTATTGACAAACCATCTTTTTTGTTTGTTCCTTGCCTATTATCATATTGCTTTCTGCTGATCGAGTTCACTCAAATAATTCACATTCTGATTTGCAATATTTACATATGTTTTATTATCATTATTATTGTAATCTAAAGATTGTAATTAAGGCGAGGGTCTCTGGGCCAGGAACTGCTAGTCTATGTATATAATAGCAAATATTTGATAGTTAGAGTTATATCATTAGCCAGAAATAAAAATTAGAGTTTGTTGGGGAGAGAAGATCAAAGATCGACTGTTGAATTAATTTTAAAATGCCATTTTATTTTTTTGGTTTAAAAGATCGTTATCGGGTCCTGAAAGAAAATAATCTTGGGTAAATCCAATGCTAAATGCTATTTTTTCGATTAGGTGGGTCCCTGGTCCTATTCCTATCAATAGCGTACCTTAAATTTCAAGCAAATCAAACCCAAAATACCACTTCTCGAATACATATGTAACATACGCATATTTAGGAACCTCTATTTGTCATATCCGAAAATTTGGAAAAAGTTCCATATTTTAAATCTCTGCCTTTATTACGTCATTATCCACGCAAAATAATCTCAATCTTGAGCAAATTAAACAGTCGATAGTATTTATTAAATAAATATATAGGTTCAAAAAAGGTCTGAGTACATTCATCGACACTCAGCTGAAAAAAATCTAATTTATAACAATAGGAATGTGATTCGAATTGTGCAGATTAGAGACAATCATAACAGCTGAGACCTCCACATCACTGGTAAGACGTAATCGCCCATTGGTATTTGTCATGTACAATTGAACTGATATTTTACCTGTATGAAACTGAGGCATTGCTAGACGAATGCAATTTCTTAAGGCATCGTCGTGTTTAAAAGCCGGCTGCTAACATAGGAAAATTATATGATAGGCTATCTAGGAATCCATTTACGAGGTCAAAAATCGAAGAGTACACAAAAATCTTTCAAATTCTTAATAACAAACTACTAATCGAAATTGGCTGATAATGCCAACGTATGGCAAAGAAATGTGTACGAACATAAAAAAATCATTATCGAATGAAAGTAGTCCTTAAGAATTCAAAATTCAACATTCACCTGTTCTTTCCAAAAGACCTCGTATGTAAATATATCCATCGAATCGATCGATTTAATCTATAGCTGCTGTGCGGCAGAGTATCGAATAAGACCCCAGTGAGTCTATCCGGTATTCGGTCACTTGCATTAAGCATAATAACAGATCCTCACCTCTCTAATAAAGCTAACATTTTTGGCCATAACATTAAACTATATGCGTTTTATTTCTTCTTGAAAACCACATTCCTAAAAATCCCCCTCACAACAAAACAGCAACAACAAGAATCAGATGATAATTGACAACTGATCTATAATCCATAATGTCTTTACAAAAAGAAATAAGCTGATTAAAAACCGATAATAGTCGAATCTCACTGTACACGCTCATCACACAAAGCGATGGGTTAACTGCATAAGCTCAACATATTTAAAATGAAAAACTTTTTTCAGCTTTCTAGTTTTATAATTTGAATGTTCAACATATTCGTTCTGGACACGGATAACGACAATCGCCACACGGATAACATGGAGAATAATATGAAGGATAGCATGGTGGATAACAAGGATAACAATACGGATCCGGTTTCCTTCGACGATCAATCATGCACAGTAAAGGAGGAGGAACTTCTGTCAAGCGCTCCCGACGAAGTCTCCTAGAAAAGTAGATGTACATTAAACGAGAATAAAAATATTTATTGGTCCTAGGTGCGTAGATTTGTTCTCGTTTCCAGTTCTCGAATAGTGGAAGCCAACTATTGCATGAGCACCTTTAATTCAAGACAAAAGTATTTCAGCTTTTCTCACTTTTGACGTGTTTATTTAAATATTATACTAAAATGTTTTAACTGATAATTTCGTACAAGAATTTTGAAAAATAAAATTTATCTCGTCCAGCATGTCCGGGAATGAATTAGTTATATTAATATTTAATACGGAACTGGTATCTGCTTCAGTTACTATTCGAAAACTGTTCGGAGCTTAACAACTCATTAACGTTTGTCCTGCCAGCAGAATATTGCACTCATTGCACTTACGCTTGGTATGCAGATCCTCCCGGACCACCGCCACCGCCTACTTTATTATTCTTTAAATATTTCATCATATCAACGCCACCGCCAGATATTGGTTTACTATCTGGACCAATTCCTCCAGGAGCTCCGGGAACTCCAGGAACGCCAGGCCCACTCCAACCTCCTCGGCCTCCTCCGCGCCCTCCTCTTCCGCCACCTGGGCCCCATCCTCCTGGTCCAAAGCCACCTCTACCACCACCAGATCCGAAACCACCCCTACCCCCGCCAGGTCCAAAACTGCCTCTACCTCCACCGGGCCCCCATCCACCACCTCTGCCACCACCAGGACCCCATCCACCACCTCTACCACCTCCATGACCCCATCCTCCACGACCTCCTCTCCAGCCACCACCCCAGTTTCCTCCAGGTCCACCAGACCAACCTCCTTCACCACCACTTCTAGTGAAATCGTAGTGTGCTCCAGTTGCGCAATTGTATGACTTCATAAATCTGTTTGGCAACATAGGATACTTGGGTTGTATATTCCAGTCATTCTCAACATACTGCGTTCCATGGTTCACCAGATTGGGCTTTTTCAGACGCTCCGGCTTAATAACGCCTGCAGGTGGTGTAACTCCAAAATCGAACTCCACATCTGAGTCGGTGGTATCGGAGAGTACTAGAGTGCTATTGCAACATGGTATTTGGCGTTTTCTACATTCCTTACTGACCTGATATTCAAGTCGTTTCTTGTCTAAGAAACTGCGGCAAAAACATTCAATGACCGGTTTGTGGCAAGTACATTTAGCAAAACCCATTGCCTTGAGGCAACGTTTCAATTTACTCATTTCAACCATAAGAGGATTTTTAGTAATTTTAAACTGTATGGGCTTCATATTAAGATATGGATCGGCGCATTCCTTCAGCGCTTCGGGATCCTTAAGCGGACGTAAAGTGATGAAATACTCGTCATTTTTCTTACATATGTGCAATGTTGGTCGTTGTAGTATCTCCTCTTCCAGCTCTCTACCGTCGCCTTTGCCTTGATCGCGGTAAGCATATTGTGAGACTCGTATGGTGTCGGCCGGATAGTCTTTTAGAAAGAATCTCATTATCTCCTTAATGGGCTTGCGTATGGCACCCGGCTTCCATCCTCGTCTTTTGCCGCTGGTTTCCAAATTCCATAGCCAACCCATATTACGTGGCACATTTTTCTTACCGATGTTGAAACCATTAATACATTTCTGGTGGCGAGAGTCTTTGATAGGAAAGGAATGATCGCCGCCATATGAATATCTGTGAGAAAAGATAAAAATCAAATTAAATTATTCCTCATTTATGTTCCGATTAACACACGCTTTCTTATCTTTCTTGGTGAGCTCATGTTCATTCGATTTCGTCCTAGTTCGAGTCTTTTTCTTTCTTCTTGTTGTTTGTTCTTCTTCCTGAGTAGGTTTCTTTTGTTTTTCTGATTTATCGGAGTGTTGAGTGCGTTTCTTTTGGCCACCACCTGATCCTTGCAACTCCTTTTCACATCTTTCATCTTGCTTGAAGGGCTTATATTGAGCTTTTTTTATATCATACAAATCTCTCAGTTCTGAGAACACACGAGCCAGGTAAGGACGGCAATCTTTACTGCTCGTTTTGCACACATTGAACATTTCATCCGACTCACACTTTCCACAATCCTGTTCGGGCTCTTCTGGCGGCCTTGGAGGCTGAAAGATATCTTCGCATAGCTTACGGATCCGGCAATGAGCGCATATTTTGCCGTTCTTGCAAGTGCACCGACATTCCTTTTTCTCTGTTGTAGCAGGTATTTCACCACCGTCGTGGCGACAGCAATCGCTCAATTTCTGATCTGTGCCGCTAGACTGTTTGTCCAGATATTCTTGCAGTATTTGGTCAGCTGTCATTTTTTCGTTATATGGCTTCTCTTCCACATAGGGCACCGGTTTATAACCACATTTCGGACAACACGCTAGTTTTGGTAACCAAGAAATATTTTCCTTACAAACAGGGCACAGCCTAGGGGTTAAGATCAGCATTTTCATATGTTGAACAAAGAAAATTTAATATCCGTATTTTGAGGAATGCTTTTAAATTCCCTTAACCTACCTTGGTGTGTGCATGACGGTCTGATTGGTTTTCGGTGGCACTTGAGGACAAATATTTATTAGCTTTTCACCGGCAAACGCACCATTTTCCGAGTGTTGGTTGGCAAAACAAGAGCATGGAAATCTACAATCTGGGCAACAAGTACAAAGTACATTCGTGATATTCTTAAGACGCTAAACTTCCAAATGATTTTTTACCCGAACTATCTCTTGTACTGCTCGAAGAGAACTTATTGTCATGCGGACAGTCGCGCATATGGTTGTTGGTACGGCAGGATCGCTTATCATTTGCAACTGCTATGGAATCAATAAGCTTCTGATAAGTATTAGACATTTTCTATAAGAAATATACACATATACTCCCATTAGATTTCCACAGTCAACTTCACAATGCCGTTACACGCACAAACCTTTAATTCACAGCACTCCGCATTACCACAAGTATTTAAAATATCGGGTGATGGAACCAGTCGTCCGTTCATAGCGCGATAACGTGACAGGTCGAGGGCTGTGGTGTATGGATATCCATCGCAGGAGTGATTAGATCCGGGAAATAGGCCGGTGCAGTCGTCTTCTTTAGTAGTATCACCCACCACAAACAGAATGTCGTGCGGATTGATCACCTTATCTAAGTGGTGACGAATATCGTCACGATCCGCCATCAAATCGTCACTGAGGAACAATCATATATTGAGAAAATGGTTGAGGCCTTTTCCGTTCCTTTCAAAAAGTACAATTGAAACTTACCAGTTTTCTTGGCATTTACATTGCAAGCGCACAATAACCTCAACAGTGCCGACTTTGTCTTCGTCAAACATAAGCTCGCATTCGTCGACATGTGTAATTTCGTTGCTTGAACTCGATATTTTATTTAGAACCGAGTCCGGCCAAATCATTGCACCAGACCCTGTAAATACCAGACACCAAAATTTAAGATTTTTTACTGCTGCGCTTGGGTTAGTTCGAATCAAGAGATTGATACTGAAGTTACTTACCAACAATTAAATTATCATATTTTACAGTTAGCTTCAGAGGGTTCGTCTCCATATCAGAACGTAGTTCATCAGGAGTAGAGTCAAATTCATAGCTACGACCGGAACGAAATTCGGCTACATTAATGCGACTAGCGGTGATGCTTAGCGAGACATTGTTGTAATTGACATCCACTGTGAAGAGGTTCGGATCGTCAAACCTTTGAGTAGCCGTGTCAATCCGTACAACGATAATGTCAAATATGTAACCTGTAACCATTTTTATGATGCGTGACCGTTGTTTGGGTTCGAAATTAGAGCCTCACACTGGAGTTTAGGTCATTTAACAGGTGTCTTTACTTGTTTCCAATAATGGTAACTGATGGACAAATCTCCGAACTGTTGTTTATTCGAATTTTTGTTGACTTTCTTCTAATTTACAATGGTTCAAATTACAGCTTTTAATTTTTTTTAATGTTTGAATGTAGTTTTCGAATGCATTACCCGTGAACGCTCGACAAATTTTTAAAAAGCAATACAATGTATTTATATATTTAAAAAAAAACGAAAAAAATCTATCTTTAATGAATAATTTTCCCAACAAATAAATTACAGTTTTTTCAATTACATTGAATGAAATGAAATAAAGTCCAATGCCATAAAAACACTGCCGTAAAAAATTATCAAAGTGGTTTTATGGAAAGGAGTTAATATTGAGTAAACAGGGTTAGACATCAGCCCGGCTCAGATATGTACATATATACTTTCGTTGTTGTAGCAGTTCCCGCTTAGGTACAAGTTTGATCAGTCTAAGTCGCCGAGGTCATCTAATGGTAGGTCCAGAAACGAGCTGTTTCGGCTGGGTGGGACCAAATGGAAAGGGGGGTTAGATGAGTTGGTTTGAGAGGGCATGTGAAGAGGTGGTTAGTGTCGTGCGGAGACTCTCCACATGCAAGGCATACGTTGGGTATGCTGGGGTCTAGTCTGGATAAGTAGGAGTTTAACCTGCTACAGTAGACCTGACCTGAGTTGTGTCAGGGTCACGCGGGTCTCTCGAGGTAGCTCGAGCTCGTTGTCTGCTATAGGTAGTGCTTGTCGGTACGCCGTCCTGCCCAGCGGTTGTTGTACATGTTGCTGGATTGTGTCATATATACTTTTGAATGTATATGGCGTTTTTACTGGCTGATCAACATGTCAATTGATTATTCTCTCCCCTTTGCTTCTTAGCAAAATTTATTTATTTTTAAAATATATCCAACGAATTAAATGCGTAAGCATGGCATAAATTGTTATAAGTAAACATTAACGATAATTGTTTTCCCATTTTATTGTCTACACTATGTATAAAATATACATATGGTTAAACGGTGAGTACCGCTCCGAGATCCAAATATATTATTTTTATAATGGCCGTTGTGAGCTATATAAAGTCCTCTAGCCAAACTACCTTATATTTTTGTCTCATGATGCATAATGTCCTTTTTACACAAAGCGAGAATCGAGCTTTCACAACAAATATTTTGGCCTAAAATAAGGTCAAAGTATATTGCCCGAGGTTAGTTCAAACGTTTTCGTTAATCTTACTTAACAGACATGTTAACTGTGTTCCGAAATTTTTCACATAGAATACTTAATGCGTGCAAGACACTATCTAGAAAAAGGGAAAATTATAATTTAAAAACCTTTGCTTTTTAAACTCTTAACAACATTTATTTCATAATCTAAAATTAACATCCAGCATTTCTCAAGTATAATAAATATACTTACAATTACGAGTATAATTTGTTCTACATGTTTATGATATAATAGCAAATAACGTTAGGTGGCTAAATTTTCTCAATTGGTATTTAGACAATTTTTTTTTACGAATTTCGTGACAATGAAGTGGAAATATTTTATTCATATCAATTATGAATGTTGTAGTAACCAAGCATTAACAACAATTTGGTCCATTAAATTTGGTCGAAACTTCAAACGTGTATTATTATGCCAAAGTATATTAACTTAGTTGGCAGTTATCATGCTCCCGATCATATGCAATTATTGCCTGGCATTAACAATTTGTACGAATTCCGGCTTCAGAGAAGCACCTCCCACCAAAAAGCCATCGATATCAGGTTTTTTTGCCAAGTCTTTGGCATTGGCACCAGTCACAGAGCCACCATATTGAATACGCAGTGTGGCGGAAACTTCCTTTGAAATGTTCTCTGTTAACCATTGACGCAAATAGGCATGAACTTCTTGTGCCTGAAATTATAAACAAAAAACATCCATACATGTTCATGTTCCTTCTGTCTTAGAAAATATAACTTCGCTTTGACCATATAGCCTTACAAATATTATATTTTATCGTACCTGTTCTGGAGTAGCAGTCTTGCCAGTACCAATAGCCCATACCGGTTCGTAAGCGATGACGACATTAGTCCAATCCTTCACCTTCTGAGCTATCGCACACATTTGCCTAGCGACAACCTCTTGTGTCTTATCGGATTCACGTTCTTCGAGTGTCTCACCAATGCATGCCACTACTTTCAAACCAGCTGCCAGCGCATGTTCAACTTTTTCTGCAATGAGTTCATCGCTCTCTTTGAAGATTTGACGACGCTCCGAATGGCCCAAGATTACCCAAGATGCACCAGTATCTTTAATAATCGCTGGTGAGATTTCGCCGGTAAAAGCACCTTTCTCTACTTTGTAGCAATTCTGGGCGGCTACATTAATGGAGCTGGGCAAAAGACTGCGCACGTAGATCAGATAAGGTGCAGGTACACCGACATAAACTTCAGCGTTGGGATCTAGTGGTCCAGCGGTAAGCACTTTGCATAATTCAGCGATTGACTTCTGGTCGCCATTCATCTTCCAGTTGCCACCAACGCAAAATTTCCGTGACATTTTCTTTTTTTTGTCTTTATCGCAACTGCCGAGAGAACGAGATATCTGCAAACCAAAATACTGAAAATTTTTGTTTATTAATATTGAAATTGTTTGCAATAATTGCAACCAAAATGGGAGAAATTGTAAATATTCACCTACTTTGCAAGAATTTGAACGAATGAATAACCTTGTGATAACCCTTTCAGCGGTAGCTGCCAGCATTCCTCAATTTTAATATGTCTGGGTACAGTACGAAACAGAAAATGTCAAATTAACTCTTCCCAATGAGTTTTTGGTAAGAACCAATGGATGTCGCTGCAGTCCAGTTGAAGGTAAATGAAAATTAGCATTTAAATTTAAAAGTAAATGAAATTTAAGTGAAGGCATTCTCAGGCTACAAGCTTAAACGAATTTTCTTCATGATGTTCATGTTTTTTGTTGTGTTGTAATAATTTTTTTTTACTTACGAAATGGAGGTGTCAAGTTTGCTTTCTTTTTTGAGTCCAAATTATCAACATTATCCTTATGTTTAATGTTTTCCTCTAATAGATTTGATGTCGTGAGGTGTCCGATTGTGGATCAGAGAGAAATCAATGTCCAAACGTTGAAATTTTTGTGCGTGGTAAAATGGATTCCAGAGTAACTCTTTTTCGGGAAGTGATTAAGAAATCAAATTATGTATGTATATATTTTTTAGTTCGACTTATTTAAAAATCTTTTCTTTCCGGAAAGTTGTCCAGATACCTGATTGACGCTGAATGAGGATTGTACATCAGTCAGTCAGTCCTTACATTCATTAGAATATCTAATTTGAACAAAATATAAAAACCATAACAACTTGTGTCGATTCTTTTAGTACGTACATACATATATACATATACAATCATATGTATATACAATCTAAATAAATATACACACACGTATGTACATATGAGTTCAACTATTTACTCGTTTGTAATTTAATCATGAGAGCCTTAGCTATATTAATTACTCATATAATAAAGTCTTCCTGTGCTAAACTACAATTATATGCATAGATTTGTATGTATACACACTCGTACATAACATAAAAGCATGGGAATGTTCTTCAACCGTTTGAATTAATGTATTCCATACTGAATTACTAGATAATGGGTTCGGCAACCCAACGGTGTGTCTGTAATACCTTGAGCTTTTATCCTGGCATAAGTGAGAAAATATATGTATGTATATGTAAGTCAAAAGTCAGCTGTTCTTTGCTTAGAACGATAAGAGAAATTTTACAACGTAAATTGAAAAGGCATTTCTTTAATATTTTTATTTCTTTAGTATTGTATCTTTGCAGATCTGAAGATATATATATATCTATATATATACAATTAGCGCTTTGTAACCGCTGAAGCGATTCTCGGTCAAGCTCCTCCTCCAATTTGTGGTTTTGCGTCTTGAAGTTTTTCCAAGAAATAGAGGGGCTTACAATTTATACCAAGCCGACTCCGAAAAGCCGATGGATTTTTATGATATTTCATGCCGGAGAAACACTCGGACTTCTTGACATTTACTACCTCGGTGCGACGGCAGTAAGAAAATTTAATATTCTATCATTTTGGATATAAGCCGGACCAGGAGTGGAACTCTGGCCTTCTATAAGGCAGTACACATTGCCAACCACTCGGCGGTTGCGGCCGTCATGCATCCTATGAAATAACGAAACAATTAATTTGATTCTTCTTACATATCTATACACATGTATACATATGATGTCAGTATATGCGCTATAAGTAAGAGAAGTTCTATTAAAGCTTTGCAAGAGAATAACGTTTACATACATATGTTCATATCTATGTTTTATATAATTTTAGACCTGACGCTGTCTTTGCAAGCATGACATTTTTAGTGCGAAGCGAACTTTCGGTAACGAAACAATATTTCAAGCCACTCTTGTTCCTCCCATACTAAGTCTGGGTCGCTTGTTTCTCAAACGTAGCTTTTACAATGTGAAGAAGTGATCTAAACTGAAAACGTATATTTGTAAGTTTGTAACTGGCAACCCTCGTGTAAACATACACATGTATGTATGTTTAAGTGTTTGTGTACTCTGAAAACCTCCAATGCTATATTGCGCTATCTGGTTGCGCAGTTCGCCTTCTGTGCGCTCCCATTGAAGATGTTCGGTGTAAATTGGGGACTCATCGGTGGTCATGTTGCAAACAATTTCCCAATTCACACTTAACTCCAGTTAGTTATGAGACGATAGACAATATTACCGATATTGCAGTAAAGGAAATTTAAATTTAAAGTTGCCGTTGGAAGTTTATGTTAATCAAACAAGAACGCGCTATGTATATAAATATCTACGAGTACATGAGTTTACATAAGCATGAAATATAGCTTGGGCAGTTTTCCATCCATTATGTGCTGGTGTCTACGGGTATATTGGACCGTTTTGCATAATTTGTTCACGCGGTTCGTTACGAATTTCGTCGTTTCTGTTTATAACAGCGATTTGTGCGCGTGTTTGAGTTATTCTCATTTTACTTGCTGTGTTTGTTGTGATCATTGTTCGGCTTACAAACAAACTCAACCAGATGATAATGACCATGAAAGCAGAGATGGACAAACAAAATCAACATCTTCATTTCAACACCATGATTACGTCATTGTTGGTGAGTGTGCCGAAATACGAACCATTGCATTATATAGTAAGTCTTAGGACACCGCACTTCTAGATTAAAATCAAAATTATTGTTACCTGTTGACCTAAATGGGGTTAGGTCGCCGAAAGGGTGACGGCCCTTGGCCCGATAAAAGCCGAGTCAACTCCGGATGTGGAGAGTCACTGCACGACACTAACCACCTCTTCACCTGCCCCCTTCAACCGACTCATCCAACCCCCGCTCTCCCTTTGGTCCGAACCCGTCGAAACATCTCGTACCCTGGACCTCCCTCTAGATGACCTCGGCCACTTAGATTAATTAAATTTGTACCCAAGCCGGGTTAGCGAGTCACAACAACAACAACAACAACATTAAAATCAAAATAAATATAAAAATTAACAGCATTCTGAACATCCAATGATACAAAGTAAGCAACTTTTACATCACGAGTTGAGCCTACTAAAGCACAATATTTAATTATTTGTTCATTTTGGCATAAGGGCCGAATACAGACAATTAAAGTAGAAGGAATCGAAGAATTGGTCGGGTTACGACCTTAACTGTTTTTCTAAAAACTTATTTATTGACGTATTTTAATTTTTAGATGAAATCGATGCAAACTATTTAGAAATTGGGGGCCGAAAAATTGAGACCGAAAATTATTACCGCCTGGTGGATCGAGCAACTGCTGAGGAAATTCTTAATGACGGTAGAGAAGATGGATCTTGTTTAGTTCGGCCATTCAAGGAGACGGTACGTGTTGACTCAAATAAATATTTTAAGCACGGTTGCATTATGCCAAAAAAGATAAGGTCCTTCGGCGACTAACGGTGAAATTATAATAAAAATTTTGAATAGGCGTGGCCCGAGTCACCTTTGGTAATAAACATTCTGTTTTAACTCATAAGTTATTAGACTGAATAGGAGCAAGCTTCTGAATAATTGGCACAAGGACAAAATATACAATTAAAAGAAAGCGAATAACCCAAAAGTATGGGAACGTGAATAGGAATGGCGGCTTCGAAAGCTGTGTGGTTAGTATTGCGAACTGCCATTCGGAAGGCCAGGTTTCGAGTCCTGGTCCGACCAACATCCCAAAAAATTATAGAAAATTAATTTAAAGATAAGAAAAATTACAGTTAAATATTGTAATTGGAAACCTTATTCAGACTTCACAATTTTATTTTTGATAACGCCCAACCTTATCTTATCTGCTTATCTTATAATATATTTTCCATTCATATTTTATTTTATTTTGTTCCACAGGATGCATCGATCAAGTACGTTGTTACAGTATATGCACAAAATCAATTTTTTCATCTCTTCATAAGACAAATAAACGGCAAAGATTTTTATGGTATCGGGCAACAAAAGACTCATGAAAAGAGATTCAGTTCACCCAGCGAAATAATCGATTTTTATAGTTCCAACACCCTACAGTGCACTAACAAAAATATCAGTGTAAATTTAGTACTAAAGCCAATTATCACGTAGAAAAATCACCAAAAAAAAAGCAATGCTGTGAGTTGTAGATATACATATAATAATACATATTTATTTGTAAGATATTTAATTGTTACAAAATTAAAATAAATCTAAGCACTTTTTGTATGTCACTTATTCAAATTAAATTTCTTTGCACAACGTATTAGTATGTGCAAATGTGTGTTTGTTGCAAGGTAAAAATTGTTATTTTATGTAGCTACAACGGCTTTAAACACACAGTGATTGTTCTGCATTAGCGCTGGCCAAAGAAATGACTTTATTAGATCTGAGCGGCGATCGGCTTGTGGATGGCGGTCATGTTTCTCCGGTCGCAGGAACCCTACAAATGATGAGAATGTAAACTTATTTATACATCTAACATAAATATGTAGGTGTTTTTGTCTTATTTACCAAGGTTGAAATCATTATCCAGGAAATATGGTGATTTCTGATTGATCATTCGCCATGCCAACCGCACAGAAGAGCTAACGAAGTGTGTCAGGGCTGGACAGGACTCCAAGGAAGGGTATTCATGTAGAGTGGAAAGTACCTAAGGAAAGTAAAAAGGATGTGTAAATAATTACATAAAATTATTATGAAATTATTATTATGAAAATTTTTTGGAAGATTCCAATGCAACTCAACAAAACCCATAAATACGCACATACATATATATGCACATACGTGTACTTACTTGACTAAAAACCGAACGTTCAATTTCTCCAACTGGAAAGGTGTTGGCAGTTTCATGTAAATGCGCACGCACCGAACGATCCAAAGCAAGAGCAATCTCATTCGATGAATCCAAGGGACAATTCAATGTTCGTCTCACTTCCATCACTTTTCTTTCACGCAACCCATGGCACAGGCGGAATGACAACTGAAATAAATACTTCAGGTTAATTATGGTAGTTATGAACGCGTCGATTCCGATATAATCAAAAATAGCAAAACTCCTCTGAAGTGGCGCCACAAGGTTTGAATATAATTATCATCTTTCCATCTTTGGAGCTTAAAATTTCTTGTGTTAAAATCAACAAATGCTAGTTTTACACGAAACTCGGTGCAGGAATTCCGCCAAAGGCGTGCAAAAATACTTTCTATTTCTACTTCGCCAATTGGTTGATGATCACAATTCACGGCAATTGAACGCCATTATTCTGAAGATTGCTTGAGCGAAAGGTAAAGTGAATACTTATGAGCACACCTCACTCACTTTTCGCGTTATTTGAGACTAGTTACGTATGTATGTATACAAAACTCATACAAACTAAGATATTAACACTATTTTATGACTCACCACAATTATTGAAAAGAGTATTTTCGCTTTCAAATCTTGAACATGTTTCAGCTGAGACAACCCATCTAGCGCCTCCAACGCATCAGCTCTGTTCTCCATATATAAGATACGGTATTGATTCACCATTTCACTGTAAAAGAAAGTGAGTTAAAAAATGAAAACAAAATAATTGGTGGGGTTTGGAAAGAGTAGTTTTTTTAAAGTGTTTCCTAAGCTTACAATTTTTGTTAGAACTGTGAGCATTGTATATCTGCATACGATATATTTTAAAAACCAAAAATCTCTCCTTTTGAGGCGTAATTACCAACCACGCGCAATGGAAACAAATTTCTTTAAGATTCTACCCACATACTCGTACATATATGTACATACATAAATATGTATGACCCGTATAATTTCTTAATGGAAAAGGAAGTTTAATTTTAATTTTTTTTTAATATTTTATACTCTTTTACCTGGTCTCTTCATTCGCTGAATCATCCGAGTGATAACCATCGCTACAAGAACTGCTGCCGCTCCCATTGCTAGTCGGCACACTTTCGGGTCCCATTAATTGTAAAACCGTCTCGCAGCCTTGGGCAAAATTCATTAACAATCCCGCTGCCGGACGCTTCTCTATGCATGCCTGTCCATCTAAACGCTTTATCTGTCCCACACACTTCAGTACTTCTTTGTCATTCTCCACCCGTTGACTTAGGTTGTCCACCAGGAATGCCAGCTGCTTAAGTGCCGGCTTATCGACCATGGTGAGTAGAGTTTTGTTCGCAATCAGTCTTTGCTGTATGTCACCATAGTTGATTGCAAGTAGACGCTGATGAGAGGAATGAGCGGGATCTTGATTTGTGATAGACGTATTTAACTCTTCTAATTTGTGTATGGCCATTTTGTATATGTCTATATGCCTTTGTAACTCGGTCTTGAGAGCGACATGGAGAGATATCAGGTGTCCCGCTGGGTCTGTTGTTAGGCCGTGCACTCCTAAGCCTCGCACGGCGTTATCAAAGGATTTTCTTCGATCCCGCAGTGTGTGACGTAAATTCGGTTCAAATTGTGATATAGCCTGAATTAGTTTGGAGCAACGTTGACGCATACCCGATTCCTGGGGATGTGAAAAGAGACGAACCAATTGCCAAACTACCTCCTCAATTGGCACTTCAGGCTTTGGTGAGGGATTGAGGGTGAGCAACCTGTCTCAGCCAAAAATATTTGAAACATTATTTATTTTCATGGAAACATAGAAATTACCTTGTAAAAAATGACTCTAGTAAGTAGGCACTGTGTGGCAAGTGTTCCAGAAGCAAGTCGATTGGTAGCTCTGCTATGACCGAGCGTAAAACAGACGGTCCCAGCCGACCCACAACACCGGCTGCTTCCCTATACTGGCGTCCCTCCGAGAGTAGCATTAAACGACGAAGCACCTGTCTGGGACTAGTGAAAAATTCCCGACCATCACGAGGCGGTCCACGTATGCGTTCTCGGCTATCGGCCATCGTACCCTGCACCGACTCCTGATGATTCTTGAGTAAAATCTGTCTGCTACGTATAATTTTTTACATAAGTTTTGTTGTAATTGGACTGATTTTTGCGTCAGTTGAATTTTCCGACAAATGGGCAAGTATGACGACTTCAGTTATACAAATGGTATAATGTATGCGGAATGAAGAGGGTTAGCGAGTTAGTGTGAATAACAGTACGCATATGTGAGGTGATTTAAAAAAATTAGGTGAATTTTCAAGTTTCTCGGGCTACGCACATTCCAACCACTAATGGACTTTTATAAAGAGTTTTATGTTTCATGCCAGAATAGATATTGTGGAATAAATTAATAGTTTTGAGAAATATGAAAATTTATCTTATTTTTTGAATAAGTATCCTCTCAAAATTGGATGTGAATAAATCAGTTTTTGAACAATACTCACAGCATTTTATAAGAACATTTTGCTGGTCATTGAAGTTTGTACAACTGAATTAAATAGAGTATATGTGATGACCCATGTACATATGTATCTGCAAAGAATTGTATGCAATTTATTTTTAGCTGATTATAATTATTAAAAATAAATAAATAGAAACAAAAACGAAATCAATTTTGTTGATTACATTTACACTCTACTTTTCATTTGCTGACTCGATAAAATTAATTTAATGTCATTTGATGTTCACACTTTCCCCTGGATATCATCGAAAGGGTTTGAATGTGCTTCGGTGCGCTCATTGCGTATAATTAATGTACTTACAAATGATAAAAAATATTTATGTGTATGGATAAACAGTTTGATATTTGTGTTATAAAGGGTGTTTTGTTAGACATGTGGGTTTCAAGAAGAAATGAAACGTAAATAATTTAGTAGCATGGCCAAGAATTTTATTTAAAGGAAGGGGTTCGCAATTATGTTTTAAAAATGATTTCGAGCAAGGGAACGCCGCAGTTACCTAATATACTCGTATATTTCAGCCGAGACGTGTAATTTTCGACCACCTTATATAGTGATTGGAATCATTTTTCAGCAATAAGGCGTCGAATAATTTCTTTCAAGGCGTTAATCGTTTCGGGCTTATCTTAGTCGTTACGTGACTTTGCCTAGCCTTATCAAATATTCCAGCGGTGGATGCCACGTCAAAGCCTCACGTCGCGCAACAATGTGAACCAAAAGATTCCTTCAATAGATTGATTGTTTCTTTGGCGATATGGAATGTAGTGCCATGTTGTCGAAACCAAAGGTCGACCACATCCACATACGAGGGTGTAACGCGTTTCAAAAACGGCTAATGGATTATCATCACACCAAATGCGGCAGTTTTTTTTTTAAACTTACCCATTCAATAAAAAGCGAGCTTCATCGTTGAACGAACTTTTCTTGCTCGTTTTGCAAAAGTTAAATTATGAAGTGGGAAGTCAAACTGGGTATATATCAAGTGAAAGCTGTCAAAGGGACCAGCTCCGGGAAAAAATATCTTAATGAAACCCAAAGGTCTAAATCAACTTGCTTTACACACAAGTATGACTAAAATTGGATGCAAATGTGTACGAGCATAAAGTAGCTGTTACATATGAACAATCGCCAAATAAATTCCCAACTCTGCATAAAATATGTTAATACTATAATGCACACATACGAGAAAGATGAAAAGCTTGAGAATTCGTTTTATTTTATAGCGAAATGTGAGGAAAACAATTGTTCACTTATTATGCTTTCAAAACTATGCAGCAATTATAAATTTAGATTTGTTTTTCCGGAAAAACAATATAAAGGAATTTATTAGCAAACAAGCTTCCACAACTTACATATGCATATTTCAACATTTCACTCCCAAAGGTTTTTCGAAAACGGAACTAAATGAACTAATAATGGATATACACCTACTCATATGTATTCACCCTCATGCATGCACACATATCTGCACATTTAGCTTTTGTATGATTTTAATTGGCAATTGTCTTCAGATATGATTAAAAAAGCTGCTTGAATAGGTCACCCATAAAGGCAGCGGAAGACAGAGTGAGTAAAGCTAAATCCTGTGAAGAAGGTGCAGAAATTGATCACTTAAGACCAGCTTGAAGTGAATTTTCAAAAGTTTTTCTCCCTAAGTTGACACAACTCTTCCCTGCACTAGCGTTGAGTTTGAGCGAAATCTGTTCTTTAGCTTGTATACAATAGGCGATGTTCTCGATCAACTTTGGCTCTCGCAACGAATTGAGATTTATGTCTTCTATCGACTGAAATCGGTTGCCTCAGCGAGTGCAGCTTTTTTAAAAATACATAAACTAACACCGGGGAAGCAGTTTTCATGAAAAATAGATTAATAAAATGAAATGAATAAGTCCCATACCCATACATCTTATGAGCATAGCTACGAACATCAATCAGTGTAAACAAAAGACTTTAACAACGAACTTAAAAAGTGCAGAGCAAGAAAAAAAATCTCAAGGGAAATTAACTCAGCACATAATATATTCAAAAAAGTAAAAGAAAAAAGATTTGGGACCGAATACCGCACATACATTTTTTAATTTGCTTTGGTTTAAGTAAATCAAAAATTTATGTACACAAAAAGAGAAGATAATTTGTTTGCAGCTCATGTCAAACATTCTCACATACATTTAACAGTGAAGTTTATTCTAGAATTTCAACGTAATTAGTTTTGGGGTCAGTTAATTACTTAGGTAATAAAGTGAATGTAATGAATATCAATTTTTACCTTTACTTCGAAGGGCTTGTAATTATGATATGCGCAAATAATATACTCTATAGTAATATTATTTAACTCTTTCCAAGAAGTGCTACTTTTTACTGAGTAGGCAATTAAAAAGTGAAGTTATCTCTCGCCGAACGAAAACCAAACTTTAAAGTCGTTCACAAAACCCTTCCTACTATATGTCGCAGAGGCGTGGACGATGTCAGCAACTGGCAACGGAGAATACCGCATGGGATGGAACGGTGAGCTGTATGAGTTATGCGATGATATTGACTTAGTTCAGCGATAGAAGAGACAGCGGCTACGTTGGTTAGGTTATGTCGTCCAAATGGGAGAAAACACTCCTGGTTTGAAAGTACTGGATGCAGAATATGCTGGTGGAAGTAGAGGAAAAGGAAGGCCTCCATTCCGTTGGAGGGATTAGGTGAAGAGTGACCTGGGTTCCCTTGGTATTCCCAACTGGCGCCAAACGGCGAAAAGAAGAGAGGAATGGCGCACTAATATTGACTCGGCAATAATCGTGTAAGCATTGCCAAGGCCAATAAAGAAGAAGAAGAAGAAGAAGAAGAGAAGAAGAAGAAGAAGAAGGAGAAGAAGCAGATTAGGTTCATGGGCCGAATTTCCGTTTGTGAATCACTGCTGATTCGTAACGAATTCGACCCAAAGTGCCCTGACTCGGTCAACAGGAGAAGAATTGTGTTTCATCAGGATAACGCCAAATGACCCTCATCGATACTGCCACCCCAGATGCGCCGAGAGCCTGCACATTTGACATAAAACGGATAATTCTAGCCTAATATTATGTAATTAAATATCATATCTTTTTATAACTAATTTATAATTTCTAACAATCGTGTGCTCTAAATAAATTTTTTATTCAGTATAAATGCATCAACGAGTTTTATATTAGTGACATACTGATATATCTACATGTATTTATGTTATGCATGCTTGTGGCAGGTAAATATCAGTTATTTTGAGTCTTGTGAACATAAGTCAAACATAAATATTTGCTATAATTTCCCTTTAGTTATTTACATACATACATAAGCAATTACCTCACCTTTGACAAATATAAATCTTTTGAAAGAGAAGAAGCACAATGTAAATCCAAACAAACGGTGTTTGCTGTGGAAGAGTAATTCCAGAAAACCGTAAAAGTGCGTTAATGGTTTAATGAACTTTTCTATGATAAAAGAAGACAAAAAAAAAAAACATTAGTGCGTACTCATTCTGTAGCATCAAGGCAAATGCGAATGATTCTTTGTTGAAGATTAAGTAATATACTCGTATGTTACACTTTGCACTTGTATGTATGTACACATGTACGTTTGAAATAATATGTACAATAAAATAAGCAATACGTCTTATTTTCTACATCCTGCGAATATGTCACTTGAAGCGATGGGATTACTAAGCCGCAGTATATAAAAAAAAATAATTTCAATGCATGTTCCTGAATGGAAAACTTATGGAGGAAATAAATATTCTCCTGCACATCCTAATTTCCTAACGAAAATGCTGGTGAGCAATGGACAGCTGTTGTAACTCAATATATAGGGAGCAGTTGAGAGAAAATATAGTTACCCGCTTCTTTCCGTTTTTCTTAGTATTAGTATTAATTAATCATCTGGATTGTATGAAATAGTGTAGTACAATTTTCTTTACTGCATAATAAGAGAATGAGTAATTATAACATTACAACCGCTTTACGACGTAATTATTATAAAGGGCATATTAAACTTGAAGTTGTACCCACATAACAAAAACTGAGTAAATAAAAGAAGCGCATAAGGAAGCATAAAATTCAAGAATATTTCAGCGACAGAACTATTCACGAATCTCAAACGTATATAGCGACACGCTCATATAAATATGTATGTACACGTATGTACATTATTATGTATGTACTCCGTCTACCTTTGTTTTGCCATTGTTTTCTAAGCAGTCTTTGAAGTGGCAAAGAAGCGCTTTCAACCATGAAGACTAAATAATTCAAGTTCGTTTTCAGGTGCTGTTACATATAATGGTTATGAATGCATATATGTATATACTTATATACATATGCTACTTTAACAGAGACACGTAGGTATCAAGACACAAATGTAAACAACAGGTTAATTTGTTATTTTTTGTTTCCGTGTATTTAGAAATTCTTTCTGCGCTCTCCGCTTAGAACAACTCTATATTCTATGTAACACTAATTAAAAGAACCTACATACATATGATTGTGCCATGATCCGTACGTCCTGCTAGATGGTCACCACAAGTGCGATGTCATTAAAAATCGAAAAACAGTTATTATTCTTTATCTTGAGTATATTTAATACATTTCTTCGGACAATTCATCATAATTATTAGTTTGGCTAAAATGCTACTCTATTTACTAGCACACTCGTATCTACTTATGAATACCCAAAAGTAAAAGTCGAAAATCCATTAATGATTTCTGCTTAATATTGATGTTAGAATTTGTTCAGCTGATGTGCTATGTGGTCTACTTTGTTAGTTTAATTAAGTGATTTATAAACTGAAAAATATTTAAACGCACCTTCCACTTTGGTAGTGCGAAATGTTCTTCTATTTATAAATACTTTCTGTGGCAACGGTACTAAAAGAGAAATCACTCCATTGTATTATCACATCATCTATCTCTTCATTCACCTTTTGTTATTTGGCATCCTACCTGCCCTTAATGACCGTGACAGTTATTCGCCATTCAACTAAAGAGGTGTTCATTGATAGACGATTTCCAGCCTAAGATCAACCGAAACGTCTATACAAATTCAATCGATTCTGGTAGATACTCGTATGTACAAATTTGCATACAGCATTGAAAAAAATGTTTTTCATTCGTTCATTAAAAAATAACTATTCTTAAAACTGAATTCAATAGTTAAAAAAACTAATTTTAAAATAGTGCTAGCAATGGGGCATTTGATCTTCGTGTGGAAGACCTATATTTGTGGTAGAACACAAAAGCAGTGAATAAATTGATGGCAGCGGCTTTCCACCGCTGGCCAATGATTGCCGCTTATAACTACAAGACTTTTTTAACCGGAAGACTTGATGAGTCCAGCAACAAGAAAGTAAAAGAAAATGTTTGTGTGTATGTATGCATATATAATTATAAATATGCTAGCATATAAAAGAAAATAATTGTGTTGAAACCCTTCCGTTTGGTTATTTCGGAAGCTGGCACGAAAATAAATAAATAATAAATAAATAAATGGTTTAGGCAATTTGTCATAATTTCGTGAAACTAGCACAAATTTATTATGTCCGTAATTTCTTTGGTCATTAGGTATTTTAAATATGTAAGTATATTTCTTACTTTGACACTGATTTCTGGTTTCGTTAGGAATTTTGCAGTCCCAGCCGTTGTTGTAGCAAAAAATAGGTTGGTAATTATTGCGTTTGTTTTTGAGAAAATTAGTTGAGTTAACTGTTTTCAACCGAAATTTGTCTCACTTTTGTCGTTAAGGGTTAATAATTATTTATTTATTTTGATTTTTTATTAATGAATGAAATATTTAGCTTCGATTTAGAATAAACAACTTTAAGAAAGTGCTTTCAGATGCCTTCTCGGTAGTTTTTCGTTTCTGATTTGAACTCTTCTGTTTTTATCACCCAAGCGATCTGCATAGACAAGATAAGTAGCAACTGATGTTTTAGGGAAAATTTCACTGTCACTATTCGCAAAATGCTCACAGAAATAACGGCAAACACATTGTACACTCAATATGGAATTAAAATGTTCTTCTCCTTGCATTGAGCACCAAGACAAGAAAACTGCAATACATTATGGAGACACTAAGTGTTTTTAAATATCCGAGTATGCACAACAATATATACTTAATGTGGTTTTAGCGTGTAAGTTAGCGCCTTTAAATCATGCGATTCTTCCGTGAATGCGTCCGATTGCGATAAAAGTCCAACGAAGACTAACTGTCATGCCACGCAAAGGCAGTTATGCAGAATATCTCTTTGGTCAGGTGCTACAGCCAGCTACCAAAGTGTGTGGAGAAAACCCGTAGTAGAAGATAAAGATAGTGAACGAGCTGCGTGAAGAGGTATAGACGGATAGTAACAAAGGCAGAAGCAGTGGCAGAGGTAATAAGACATAAGGCGGCGGCTGAGTGCAGGCACTTGTCGCGGTGCGTCTTTCATTTGCTCGGTTTGTGCAGCTTGTTTAACTTTCGGCGACGGACTATTCTAAAAAGAAAATATTATATTGTTAAAAGATTTATATTAAAAAACCAATACTCACCTATGGGTGCTACCTCATTAATACATTTTTAAAAAATATATTTAATAATAATAATACTTAAATTGTTAATCAATTATATGAATATTTAATTTGGGTTTGATGGTATGGAGATTTTATAGAAAACTTTTTGCAGTGTGCGCACGATGCAATGATGAATCCGGATCTCATCCCAAATTACAAAGCTAAGCAAAAAAAAGTGTTGTTTTTAAACGCTAAAAAAAACCGCTTCAAATTATGCTTTGGCTCGTAAAATACGTCCCTGCACACTGGATGACTACTGCTTGTGAGAGGGCAAATAAATCCACAAATTTAAAGTCTTGCATTTAATTGAGGCAAATATGGTTGTCTAGAGGTGCGTATGTTACGAGGACCACTATCGTCTCTGTGTAGGAAAGAAAGCCCGATAACAAACCCAAGAACGGTTCGATGCCAAAAAGATGCACTGCTATATAAGAGAACCGTGTACCAGTCTTTCAAGCACTTTACATACCGCCACTGTGGATACAATGGGCTTTCTACAGTGCTAGAGTTGGTATGATGAGGAATGTCGAGCTGTAGTGGAGAGAAAATAGACAGCCTACTTCGCAATATTGCGGGGGATGTACGGTGTGTGATAGATATCGAGAGCTGAGAACTGAACTCGAAAAGATGCGGTGGCCCACAAAAGGTTTCAGGGTAGGAGCATAATCAAATTAGAATCAAGTGATCGATGTCCAAATTATATTTTCTGTAGAAAGGCACACTTTCCCAGTTTACTGATTAGCAATAAAAGCGCTGCACCCTCAAATGGGGAGCCCGAAACCCCAACCGAGGATAAGGAAAAAGTCGTTCCATCACCTCACTATGATAAAGTTCGAACAGCAATTGTCCGTTTAAAGGCCAATACAGTGAGACTCGGCTTCCATGCCACTGTTGATAGTCATAACTTCGAGGTCGTCGATTATTTCGTCTATCTTGATATATATGATTGTTTGGTAAACTAGTCGTTAAGGAGTCCAGTTAATGAAATATGCTTGTTTTGATTCGAGCGGTGGTACATAAATGATTCCGAACTGATGCCTCTTACCGGTTTTCCCTCCAAATCGGAAATTGAATATTCTACCGCCCAGAAATGCAGATATACTCTACCATCTGCATTTCCACTTAAAGTTTTTCATCACATCAATTATTAAACACCCACGTGTATAAGAAAGTTGAAGAAAATTTATAAATAATGCAAAGCTTGTTTGGGTTATGTATTTTCTTTTACTTTTGCTTTTCGAAAAGATTTCTGCTCGTAATTGTTAATATTCTTAAATTTCGAAAGTCCAATAAAAAGAACAAACCACAGCCCGTCTGATTTCTCCTATTTTAAAATATGAAGCTTGAAATCCCCCAACCTGATCATCGCTTTAAAAAATTGTGACATAAATCAAGCGAACGAACAAAAACCGATTTGGTCCATGGAGGGAGTCCATATTAAAAAACACCGTCACTTTCACATCGATCCTGTTTGCTTCTGCCAACATTCACTGAATCACGCAAACAGGTTATTTAGTAGTTACTAACTCGGCATTGACATAGTTTGGCTGGATGCATACACCGGTGCTGCTGCGACTGTAACTGCGGCCGGCTTTGGCGGGTAGTTCATATATTTTGACTAGGCTTAATTGCGCATGCGCAAGTTACGGCAGCGGGCTATAGATTTCGTTTTTCATAGAAATGACAACGAAAGTCATTTGACCGGTAGCAATTTGCATGCAAATAAATATTTAAGAAAATCAAGTTTAGAGTAGCGGTAAGTGCACCTACTTGTGTACATACCTATTTATGTATGTGCCTTCGTAAATAAAACTTCAAACTGCAAGCAGTTACATATTTGTTGGCACAAACTTATGAGCATGAACGTATCCTTTTAATATTTTTTTGTTGTTAAATTATGTACCCTCACCCTACTTGGAGATTTTTATTTGTTAAATAAAAAGGAAATTTTTTCCAAAGAATCGACTTGGCGCTTATTAGTCAATTATTTATCTGCCGTTTTCGTTGATGGACTTAGCACAAGGGAGCCTATTCATAAGTGTTGAGAGTGCACGTTGGAATGTATGTGTACGAATATGTCCCAAAACGCATCATGGCTGGTCAACGTAAATGCTTTACGATATACATACAAACAAGTGCATAGGTGTGTTTGTCTATACTTAACTGCGTACCGGTAAAAATTAGAAAGTAAAGTTGTTAGTATAAATGCGATGAAAGGAAAATTTGTTCAAAATATATGTGTATGTGTTATGTTCGGTTATAGACTGAATTTGTTTATTTTATACTAAATATTGAAATTAGTCAGCACTTTATTAATAATTGGAAATACTTACATATATATCTCATACACAAGTGTGTATGTAAGTTAAATTGCGTTAAATTTTCTATATACTTCTCTGGCTGATAGAAACCAATTAGGCGTATTCTGCAATGCACTTTTGGGTAACAGTAAATTTAATTTACAACAATTTGACATTTCGATGTTCTACATTCTACACAATTCATTTTAACTTCCTTTTATTTTCGAGTATGAAGCCACAATGTTTGGAAAACCAATTCATATATAAATATGTAAGGGTTTTATTTTTAATTATTTGGTACTCAAGTAGAAATAAAGCGCATATCACATAGATTTATTATAAAGGTAAGGGCTAGCCGCTACGTTTCAAAAATTATTTCAGGAAAGTGTTCGCTGTGGCTGGCTCGAATGAATTCCAGACGAAAGACCCACTTTGCAGCAATTGGCAGCAAGACTCGGACCAAATGTTTCCTTTAATAAATTGACTGTTTCGTTCGCTAATTCATCAAACTTAAATGTTTACGTTTTGATTTCCAAACATTCATACTGATGTCACTACTGTTCTAGCACAAGGGTGAATTGCTAGCGAGAGCCAAAGCACTCAATAGAAATAGGAAAAATTGAATTCCGATGACACAGATTTTATGAAATCTGTCATATTAATTTTTCAAATTATTATTATTATTTTATATTATCTCAACATCTCCTTATATACCTAATTCTGCATTTTATTTCACAATTTTGTTCGTTAATTTCATGTCTTCCGAATTTGAATAAAAATTTTATGTTTCAAAGTCTCTTAAGCGGTAAAAAATTGCGTTGGGCATCTTGATGTTTTGCCCATAACTGTGGGACTGACCTATGTACATATATGTATATACGTGTAGGTTGAAGCTGACTCTGAAAATTTGAACACTTTTTCAAATCAGAAATACTAAGTACGGATGCAATTAAAAAACCAAATTTCCTTTGGGTAATGAGTATTTATTTTGAATATTTGCTTAATACATATACATACAAACATTTGTATGTTCATATATATATTTATATAAATGTATAGTTGGCTTATAAGAATTGCAGAACACTATAACACTTTAATATTAATCCAACAGTAGAATATACAGATACAAAACCACTAAAATAAATAATAAATGTATGAGGAAAAATTCAATTGCCAATGTCAAGAGCACCAGAGGATTTGCGATGCCGTAAATTATTAATGTGAACATTTCAACGAATATTACATACATATATTTACATTTGACATACATTCGACGTCTTGCAATTTTACAATCACGCGTAAATTCCACATTGTTTATACATATATACATATGTGTATATGCTGCATACATACATATGCATGTACTTAGATACACTTGTTCGGCTGCGTTTGTTATTGGCTGGTATTTAAAAGGAGAGGAGGAGATTAGTGGTATGGTGGAACATATATATTTATTTATTGTATATAGATATATGTGCATACATATATATATAATGTAATTATTCCTGCATAAAAAGTGATAGTTGTTTGCCGCGTGAACTTTCAAATCGGTTTGGTGTCTTAATATCCATTAGAGCAATTAAACCAATCGACAAAATGCCAATCAAGAAAAGTGTCACTAAAATACCGGCCCAAATCGGAGCTGTAGTGAAGCCGACACAATCGTAAACGTCGCCGAAGCGTGGTATGCCATTCAACCAGGGTTGTACCTAAGCACAAAACATTTTTTTTCAATATGCGAATTTTGATTAAAATATAAATTTTAGTCACCTGAAAGTCATGTATGATTAGGCCATCGCTTTCATTACCAAATTGTAGGCTGCGCGAAGAGCAGCGATACGAGAAGCCTATTGGTGCAGATGGAATACTATATAGTGTGCCCACAACCGGAAGAACTGATTTGTACTCATTGTACTCCACTTCAACGGCTTTCATGTGCCAGTATCCGCGACTCAGTGTGAAATTGAAACGCAGAAATAATTTCTGGGTCTCCACCGAGAATATGATATTAAGACGTCCGTAACCTTTGCCCTTTTGATCGTCGAAAGTAACATCCTTGTTATGAGCCACAAGCTTGGTGTTGTTGAGTTTACCGCTTATATTGATTACCGGAGCAGAGGTCACATACAGCACGGCCTTATTTCCTACAGAGGGCACGGAAAAAATTATTTAGTGAGTATATATGATACATTAAAATGTAATATATATTGAAATATCTGGCATTGGGAGATATGCTCATTGTACTCGTACATACACGTAAGTATGTACCTTGTGTATTAAAGACTTTAAATAATATATAATTAATTAATTGAAGCTTTTTCTGAACTTTCAGCGTAGTTTAATTAAAAATGAAGCAAATTTGTGAATATATCATTTTTAGATTACTAAATTCTCAGCAGCATTTCAGTAGAGTTAACTCATACACACATGTGCGCACATAATTTCACGAATTAGGTACTCAAATGTGTCGCCAATTAAAAGTTTATTTTCGGTTTGATAGATTGGTAAGGTATGTATATATACTAATATGTAAGTGTGGTTGTTAACTATACAAACATATTTTCGTTTTACGGTACCAATATGATGCGTTCAAATTGTTTTTTTAATTTTAATTTTTTTCCTACCTAATGCTACATATATAAATGTTTTGTCCTCCTCTTCAACGGCTGGTGTTTGAGAAGTTGTTGTCGCACCTCGTTCTTCTTCTGTGGGTTCCTCACGTTCTTTGGTATCTCTTTTTGCAATGTAATGAGTATCATCTTCCCGATTCGCTACAATTCCCAACACCTCACCTTTACCGTAGATGGTAATGGCGTCATTGTAGCCGGATACAATTGATTCATCTTCTTCCTCACTGTTACCACTTAGATTGATGACCTTCGAGCGGATAGAAATGAGAAATTAAAATGTAGTATTTATAAACTCACATCTGTCGTGCTTATATAATTTAAAAACAATAGGCATTGATGCGCGTCCAAAGGAATCTATGAGCATCCAAAAGAAAATGTAAGGGTGATGCCAAATGTAATCACACAAATAAAAGCCTGTGCAAGTGCATAACATTGACAAATGACACTTGGACGCCATAGGCGGTTTTAGGTCGGTATCGGCATCTCGTAAAACTTCATCAGCCGCTTGGACTCCTTCTGTTTTGGTCCCACCCATTTTTAGCAAGACGCACATACGTATCAAGCCGAGGCAGTAGCTCGACCGAAACTCGATTTAACTGATTCGAAATGCGTTGGACCTGTCATTAAGCATCTTCACTTTTGACGATTATCTTCAAAGCTCAAAAATGAAGATTTGCTGAAAATATTGGAAGCTATACTGCCGAGCGAACTCATCGTGCGGTAAAGGAATTTGTATTATTATTCCATGAATTTAGGAATTTTTTTCTATTTCCCATTTGGGATTCTCGTTGTTCCCAAAGCAAGTTCATGTTGGTGTAAATATTCATATATTTATTTTTTGCCAGTCTGCAGATTGCATTTATTCGCAAAGGAAAAAATTTGGCAATAGCACTTTTCACACAACTCGCATACATACATTTGTGTAAACATTACATACATATGTACGTACCTCTATGTTGGCATTGTAATTGAAGGGCTCGGCGGTGAGATAATGTTGGGGTAAATAGGCCCAAGCGTTACTTTTTACCAACTGCTGGAACCGAGGGTACACCTTCCCGTCTATGCGTCCAGTGTTATTCCGAACGAAAATCACTATTGCTTTGGTTTCCTGAAATAAATTGGTGAGCTCCGCTTCGCTAGCTTCAACAAGAGCGCGTGGCTGCAAATCAACGACACTCTGATGACCCCAAAAGAGATACGGACCACTCAGTCCAGTAGCACTACAAGTCGCAACAGCTAAGCTCAAGTAAAAAGCTAGAAAAATCCAATGCATTATTGAATTCAATATTTTTAATTTTTTAGCTGTACTGCTATTGGTTCAACGGCTGCAGACTGACTTTTCACTACAAATGACTGGCAGATGTCCTCTGCATATGTATGGACGTATGGAACTTCGGCAAAATGTATAAAGAATTTGTCCATTCTTCAATCGATAGCAAAGTTGCACGTTTATTGCGCAAGCGCGGTGCAGGAGAGAGTTTTGATACACGCATTAACTCATTGCCAATACGGTGACCGGAATATGTTGAAAAGAGGGGTGAAATGAGCGTTTTGTTGTCACCGTTGCTTCGAGAGCGACAAGATGTCATTAGAGAGCCAAACAACATTTTCAACTTTTGCAATTCTGGCACAGAGATACTATAGAGAGAGCGAGGGTAAAAATTGAAAACAGAGAAGATTTTAAAAATAAATTGTCTATGTTTATTTACAAATATTTTTTTATTTGGTATAATAACAAAAGTTAAATCAACTCTGAGCAATATCGGGGTGCACATAAAGTCGTTAAGAAACTTTTATGGCTCAGTATAAATTCAGTAATATAAAAATTGCAATTAAAAATAATTTTGGCAGCGATTCACTTGATGAATTGTTGTAAAAGCTTCCGGAGAATGACTTAGTGCCTGAAAAATATTGAAAAGAATTGAAATCAATAATAAGTAAAATTCCACACACAGATGAGGGTCACGAGATTTTCAAATTTAGTTTAAGAGAGACGTATGTACGATTATCGGTATTAAAACGATGATGTTATAATACCCGGCTGTATTACCAAGTACACTTTAAACAAAGAGTTTGATCGTCTACTGTTTGATTATACTCCGCAAGTCTTGCATAAAATATTTGAGATAGCTCATTATGGATAAAAATGTTCCTATATTTCCGGTACTTTCTTCAAGCTTTCTCAAAAATGCAATTACCTGTTCATGAAAGGCGTAAAAATTAAGAAAATAAAGCAAAGGTCATATAATACTTTAAAATATAACAGCTCATTACCAACGTTTTATTGCAAAAATATCGTTCTTTTCAACGACATTAAATTAAGGTTGAAAAACTTCATTTTTTCATAGTGACGAGGGTAGCACGAAAAGTCGGCTTTATTCAAGTATATTTCATACATATTCAACATAAGTCGGACGGGACTTTAAACACACCAATTTTTCCTGTCGGCTATGGACTCGTAATTCCAAATGGAATATGTAAATATGTAATTTGGTTATATCTATATACTAAATATGTTGAGTTTAGGGAGGTAAATTTATTCATCTATACAAAGATTTTCAGCCTTTGGCTTGCGTTTTCGAACTTATCGAAGAAAAACAGTAAAATATAGCGGTTTTTCTCCTTGACGCACGCTCAAGCAAAACTGAATCAACCATTCAAAGTAATGTCATCTTTCTAACGCCGTCTAGCGAAACCCGATCAGACTTCTGCCTGTTCTATTGGAAAAACAATACATATATTCCTTTTAATACACCTAACATATATTATGAAATCAAACCGTAGTTTTAGATTAAGTTTCTAATTCATTTTAAAAGAGATTCCCGACAAAGAGAAGATAGGTCAGTGTAAATCTCCGCAGGTAGGGGTTCATTACCGTTTTCAGGACGGTTGCTCGAAAAAAAATGTACTTATGGTTCGATTTACTCGCGGCATAGGTGGGATTTTGCTTAAGCTAACGTAACTTGGCACCGACAAAAAAGCATATTTATGGTTCGATTACCTTAACTTATATGTACATATCTACATTTGCTTATATTATTACAAACACTACTCGTTCCTCTTACAACGTATGGCCGTGGCTTTTAGTTCAATGTGCAAAAATAGAATGTATTTTTTGTCCTCTAAGAGCTTACGCATCCTTACGTTTGAATTTTTGAATTTTTAATTTGGTTCTGTCTGTTAAAATCTGAAATTCGACACTCTATGCTGAGAAGGACTAATTGTCTTACGTTTTTCATTAGGATCCCGCACACCGCAAGTTCTATATGAAATTGTTGCCTTCCTCTTAGTGTTCACATAGCCGGGAATGAACAGGCTAGGAGCCTCTAAGCGACCAGCGGCAATGAGTCTGGACATATCCTATGGAGAGAGAAGTGTGTGGTGTGAACATTATTCTTTTCTCGATGCTACTTCCATACCAATTCCAGTCGATGAGCTATTGGTCCTTTGAAATGAATGATCATTTGTATGCAAGCGCCTCCATGTAATTCTTTTGTTTTCCGAGCATCCACATCTAACATCCATTCAGGTATGCCCATAACGGAACGTAGCTCTTCCAAAAATTGTGCGCTGCAAAAAAAAAAAGAGATGCATTAACGTATTTGCCATATAAGTAAGTGCAGGCGAGTAAATTCACAACTAAATTTAACGTACACAACGAATCTCGGTGGTTTCTGCAAATTGACGTATTTGAAAACATTGTGATCTGGTTCAATGTTTGCACAAGCAAAACGTTCGGAAGAGTGATCAGGACCAAAAATGACTACAGAACGTCCAATTGCACCTACAGGGCCTTCTAGCGGAAAGTTCGAGTCTGTGAGTACAACACGTTCTACACCCAGGTCTGAGAAGACAGGTGGAAGAAATAATGTTAAACCAAAATGTAAATGACTTCTGTATACATATACGAGTATGCATGAATATATATTACTTATCGTGCCAAGCCGTGCACCCACATCACCTACATAACACCGTAATGGGTTATCCGGCCCGCATTCCTGCTCATACAAATCACGCTGAAAGTAAGAAGGATACGGATAAATACTTAGACCTGCTTGAAAATAAATAATTTGCTGGTCGCAGATACATTTAAAGGATCGGCCAATTGGGTATAATAAGGATTCCACACATATCCACCCGCCACGCAACGAGTTACTGTTGGCTTCACTGCCGCATCCACACCCACTGGATTTACATAAATTTGCCAGTTGTGATTATAGGTCTGGAAAAATGTAATTGTCACATTCGAACTTGTAATATTTGGAGTAATAATAAAACCATATTTCGATCGTTTTTCCCGGGATGTCTCAATTTGACTTCTATAACCGTCTCCGATTGACTACCATCGATATGTATCAATTGTGTCATTTTCACATAGCCATATGCGTAGCCAGTGGGATGATGAAATGAGGCAATGGCTCGAATTTCACGCGCTTCACTGGGACTGTAACCACGTTCCAACGTACTGCAAGCCCAGCGGGCATTCCTGCGTTTTTTATGAATTACCACCGAGCGACCGATCACACTGTTATAGCCGAAAAGTGGCAAGTTGGTATCATTATATACACCTTCGTACTGAGTAAAACCATCGAGAGTGCCGAATTTACCACTCAAATCGCCCATTTCATATTGGTCCGTTGTACCTTGTTGCGGAGGAGGTGATGATTTGACATTCACATTGAATGGATTCCAATGTCCATATAGAGTTGTGGCTTCACACGGAAATTCCAGATTCGCTTCGACAGGTGTCTTAAAAAAAATTCATAAATGTATATATTTTCTTCTTTAAATTCCCGTAAAATTGGAAATGGCCTCATCTTACCATGTGGATGTGATAGCCGCTGTTTTCATTTAAGCCCTTCAATTGCACTTCGATATTGCTAATGTCATATTCTGATTGCTGCGTGATTTCCAGACGGCCGTTTACAGTTAACTCATCTCCATTAGCATACCAGTCTTTCGCTACTACCTTACGCCGGAAGTGTCCAATAATACTATATAGTTGATTATGACATTTTAATCAGTTATTATTTTATTGCTATAATAATTTCTATTTCCACTTACACGGAACAAGCCAAACGTTCTCCTCGGGCCTTTGGACCGAAATCATCATAGACCACCAATGATTTCCCTAATATGCTATGCCTTCCCGACAGTGGTAAATTCGTATCCGTAAACATTAATCGACTCAAGCTTTCTGCATTTTGCTTCCTTCCCGCTATTTTCAATGTTCCAACTCGTGTATCTAAAGCTCCCACTCGACACATTGCTGGCAAGCGAGGTTTGCAGTAATCGTCAACGGATCGATTTCCCCACTGCACTTTGTGGGGATTGAAAATACCGCCCGTGGAAAGGCATCGGTTCTGCCAGTCATAAAAATCTTTTCCAGGCGCATTACTGTGTATTGCCCAACGATGGTCAAAGGTGTTATTTTGTGTGGATCCGTCGGCATGTATTAAGTACTCAAATATGACTGTGGTGTCTTGCGATGGTTCTTCAGCTGGTTGTCGGAAGAGTACGCGTCCCACTATCGGATAACGGAACAGTACTTGCGCTGTAAACATGGGTTTCTGGTAAAGCCCATTCCTTTGATAATGTGTTATGGTCGCACAACTCCAAGGAGCTTCGGTAATGTTAGCAGCATTAGTACGATTGTAAGTAAAGATTACCATGCCACGGTGTGCGATACTGTGAAGCCCTTGTAGGGGTAAAAATGTATCCCAATAAAGTCCACTGAGCTCTGAACTAGCTCCAGGCAACAAATAATTGTGATAATAATCTTTATTGCGACTTTGTAATTTCCCACTCAAATCTCCTATGGGATACTGATCTTGAGTACCAAATCCAGGTGGTGGTATTACATGCCTTTCAAGGTCGCGAGGATTGTATAAGTTTCCAGAAGATTCGCAATAGCTCGTCAAACCTTTACGATGCGGCACTGGCGGTAGACTGTGTATGCGAAATGCAGAGACATCTTCAGCGAATTTACGGTTTACCAAACGTCCTTGTTTACCCGCCGATTCGAGTGTGAAGTTCAGGAAGGTGGGATCGAAGCGCGAACGCTGCGTGAATGTCATTTCACCTTTTATCCCACCGGACTTTAAAAACGTCCTTAAATAAAATACATATAATATTAACAAAATGTTGCCAACGAAATTATTTATTTACTTGTATGTCAATGGCTCCACATGGCGAATTTGTGTGCAGGCAAGGAAATTATCTGGATGCTGATCATCAAACAAAACCAAGTATAGAGTTCTATGTGGTATTGATAAATCTGACGGCAGTAGTAGGAACTTATCATCTCTGTAAATTGCACGCTGTGGTGATTGTAAAGCATTTTTCGCCACACTTATCTTTCCCAATCTGGCGTCGAGATCACCTATACCCTTATTCTCACCATAACCTTGAGGATCAAATACAAGTTGCAAAAAATTACAATTATCTTCGGTGCGATGGTGATCGTTTTTGAATATATCAGTAACGTAAATTTTCCAACTATGATGAGTCATGGGTTTGCTGGGATTATCATTAGAAGGTTGAACTTGAATGTGGTAGAGATCAGAAAATATCAGTGTATCTCCTCCCACCCCATCTGATGGAGCTAACCAACGAAAATGTACGGAACCCGCAATAGGCGTATTAAAACGTGCCTCTGCCATATGCTCCACCGACATTTGAATGGTGGTGATGGTAGAACAAATGCGAGCATGTGAATTTGCTTCGGTTAAAACTAGTGACTTGCCCCAAATACCCTTTTCGCCTAAGTGTTATAATAAAAGAAATTTAATTGAAATGTAATAATAGATAAAAGTAAAGCACTCACCAATTAAGGTCATATCGCGATACCAGGTGGCGGTCTCATTTCCAGGCAAAACTAAATAATCGAGATCTTCATCAAAACTCACCACTTGTGCGCCCAATTTTTCCAAACTACAACGGGATTCGGGATCAATGTCATTATAATCTATTGGGAACTTTCGTACGCTCCAGCTCCACACTTGATCTGGATATTGAAGGGTGGTTTCTAGTTTAGCTCTAATCTCCACGGTTGTTGTGTTAACTTGGCGGAAGGTAATCTCACCATGAAGACCATGTTGAGAGAGATACGCAATGAGCTGTTGAGCGCCAACTGTTTGCGACAGGCGTACATATAGTATATGTACGAGTATCCAGAGAGTAGAGCGATTACAGTAAAGGCAAGTAGATAAATTGTAATATTTTATATTTTTTTTTTTGGAAAATTGTGTCTTCCATAAATAAATAACTCTGTGTATACTTGCATACAACAAAGGGAAAATGTTAATGAACAAAGCGGTCGCTGAATTCGGATACGATTTAGCGAAAGCTGATTTTTTATATGCGGGCATACTTACCGTCATTATGGGACAAAAGACACGCAGCGATGACTAATAACGACGGAAATCTCCAAGAGATTTTCATTTTACTGTATACCTTAATAAACCAACTAATATTTATACCTATTTGAGTTCAAGAATTTATTTTACAAAACTAATACAAAATTGCAGCATAAAAGAAAAGAAAAAGTCTCTCCTTCCTTTCACTATCACATTGTTGTGAAAATTGGTAACTATATACAACGCTAGCACTGACCACGCCGGAAAGTCGTTCATTGACGGTTTCAATACAACTGAATCTCGTTTTCATCAACCAAGCCATAGTTGGTAGCAACGATCGATATAAATACGCATACGAGTAAACGAGTTGGCTCGAAAGAGAATTGATCAAGTCATGAGAGAGTTTAGCTTTTTGCGGTGAGTGTGGTTCAAACTGGTTTCGAACCAATCAGCTGATGACTGAAGTTTCGAAGCTGTAAGGGCTTCAATAAACAAAACTATGGTTTTATACAAAAGTGATTTAACTTTCTTTTCACGCACTTTTTTCTTTAAAAGCACAGGGTGCTTAAGCATCTCTGATTACTTTTGCGTAGCTTTTAAATCTTATTTCGTTTAACTGTTTTTATAACAGCACAGAAATCTCTGTATTGAATCCGCCTAATTAGAATCTACAAATAAGTTCTAGAATCTTTATATCTAGTGTACCACAGCTTTAGTCCAGTAATAGTGTTGGACGACAAATAGACCTCTGCTCATCGAAAAACTGGTCTGAATCTTCCTTTGAAGGGTTGTTCGGTAGGGTAAAACGTTTGGTAGGGGATTCGGTTGGTTTTTTCAGTTTATTTAGGTGCATGAGCATGTATATAAATTCACCTGATTGATGAATCCTTACATTATTTACTTTGAGTGTAGGGGGAATTTTTGTGTATGATTCCTCCATGCCATACCTTATCGAATGCTTGAGCCAAATAACTACCAACTGACTGGTTTATTTACCAAATAGCATGTACATATAAGTATAAGAATATATAGTATATACGCGTACACTAAATTTCGTAAGAGATTTGTAAGATATGAATCCCAATGAGCTGCATAATGGTGTGGGCTTCTAACCGTAATTCATATAATATTCAAGGGCAGATTTTTGGCTATGCCCGATTCATAAATTATTTGCAAATTTTAAATGGAAAATAAATGAAATATGACATTTGTTGGAGCATACTTACCGGTGAAGACATCGATATTGACTCTTCAGAGCTGTAATTATTTTCACAAGCAACCCTACATGTTTCCTACAGCTTAACAGGTACCAGAATAATAGCTAAAAAATACAAATTCAATAATGGTTTGTATTTGTATTTTGTGAGCTCTACTCGTAACCATACGTATGTTGATTTTCATACGACTACCTACATACAGTTTTAGTTGCCACTTCCAAAGCCATCTACTCTAAGCATAATAGGTGCTTTCTCTCCCCATCAAGGGGCGAGCGCGTTAAGAAAATACTCTTTTAATAACTTTGGACGTTGACTGGCACATTCGTAAGACTCGATTAATCTACTATCTATATCTAAAGCTGAATGTTTACGAATAAGTGAATTGAGATAACGGAAGCATTTCTTATAACTGATGTAGTGGGATTAGTTTTTTTTTATGACTTTACAAGTATGAATTGAGTTATAAATTTGGCGTTAGTTTTAGGGTTTAAGTTCAATTTAGTTTTAAGACATAGAGAAAATAATTTTAGTAATGACTTTCGCAGTCATGGTAAGTGTATGTATGTTCAAGTACCTGTTAAGCAGAACTAAACAAAAAAAAAAAAACAAAAAAAAAGGTTTTTTCGCTTGAGAAAGTACAAAGTAACAAATAAGTAAATGAAACAAGCGCCCTTTTTCTTTTGCTGTTATTAGATGACTTTGGATGTTTATTAAGCTTGTTTTTAGTAATATGTTTTTTTTTTAAATATAGTCATCTGTTTAATTTACTTTATATTTCTTTTCGTTGGATATCATTTTTTCTATACAGTTGTTCGGTGTTATTCAACTGTGGTTGTTTTTCGTAACAATTGGTCTATAAAATTCGGAGTCATAATATCATTTGGATAAATATTAGTTTTCATGAACTTAGCCCTCTTTCTCAATATATATCTATAAACTAAAATATATTCTTTATATGTATATACTTAAAATTTTGTCGCTCTATTTGGGATTATATTTTAAAAGTAAATATGTCTAGAGATGCCCCTAGGTTTGATATATGTATATGCATATGCATTTTTAGATATATGAATATTTGAATTGATTAAATAGTTTAAATATATGTAAGCTCTTTTAAAATTTTTTGTAATATTCAATTCGAGAGTCAAACGTTTAGACTCAAAATCAAAAAAGTCAATAGAATACGTATATGAATGAGTTAACCGATTCTCTCCCTATAATGCATCGAATGTTGGTCTTGTAAATACACATTTTTTTTTTAACTCTTTTTATACATTTTCATCCCATGCATCATAACTAGTTAAGAAAAAATATGCACTTGCATAAATGTGTATATACAAATGAACAAAATCTGATCGATACATCAGACTGGAAAGTCAGCAGGGGTATATACGTGTATGTAGCTAAATGTGTGATTTATAGTTTTTTGTTAATTGATTAGTATTTGATACTTTATAGTTGCATCATTTGGTTTTGCCGCTCTTTGTCTAAATAAATATACATATGAATATACATATATTTATACATATGTATATATATATATATATATTTATCAATAAAATACTTTTTCTTTATATTGTGTTGGTGTTGTTTACAATAATATTTTTCATTTGCTTGCATGTGAGTGTAACATTTTGAAGTATTTTATTTATGTTAGTAGAAAAATACATTTATAGGGATTAAAAATTGTTAGTAGCATGTAACCGTTGGTACCGCCAACTTGTATATACATGTATATGTATATACTTATATACAGATAATACAAAATATCAGAATTTGACAGCTGTAATTCAAATTTAAATTTAATTTAATAGAGTTTTTTCTCTTTTCATATTATATAATAGTTCATCACTTTCATTATAAACGTATATACAAACAAGTATGTTAATTATTAATGCAACAATTATATAATATAAGTTTAAAATTTGTTGGTTATAGACGTGTATATATAATCGGCACAATAGTTAGTTGAATAAGTGAATTCATATATTTTTAAAACTTTGTGTTATTATTATTACTTCTATTTAAATATACACTTCATCATAAGATATGCAATATGTATATATGTAGGTAAATAATAAATGTTAAGGTTAAATATTATGTTCCTTCTCTTAAATTTTTTATAAATGTATATATATATATATGTGTACCTATGTATATATATATAATATAATATAATTGTAAGTTCTCCAAGGGATGTTCATCTTAAAAATTGATAAAAGCAAACATGCAATCTTTAAAATATTTATAAATATTTGAGTAAATTATTAAAACAAATTGAAATTTTAACGATGTAAGTAAATGATTATATATTCATAATTTCATAATTTCATATTTTCATATTTTCATATTTTCAAATTGCAATATAATATGGATAAAAATTGTTTCAAACATATTCAAAATAACTCTCAATGGTTTAGTAATTATATAACCGTCATATTAATGATCGTTTGAATAAAATGGGGTTAGTTTTCAAAAACATATACAATGTCAATAATAAATATAGAACTTGAAAAACATGTGGGTTAGGGTAATCATTTCTATTAATATAATCGTAAGTATTTATGACACACATATATGTAGGTATTTAATGCATGCATACTTTACGATACTCCAAAGATTTGTGATAGATTTTGAATGGTAGGCACTTGTGACAATAGTAATAACTGAGTGATTGATGAGTGTGTGATAAATGATTTTCGCACTTTTCTTGTTTGTCTATTTTATCTAAGCTTATTCTCAAGAAAACTCTTACATACATATGTAAATAAAGTATTAGTATTTATACGATAATAATATACAAAGCTATCGCTTCTGTTAGTATCTAATAGTAATCAGCATTTGGTGTTTGCCTATAATCTTCGTTGAACTTTCCATTTTCGTTATTTAAATAGAGGTCCCTAGCCAGAGTATACAATTGTGAGAATTGTAGGTGTTGTTGATCAAGTGGAATATCAAGCATTTGTTAATTCAAGGAGACGCAAGACATTTTTGTCAGAAAATAAAAATCTTCGAAAGTTTCCTTTTTAAGTTTTTTGTTGGTTTTTCTTATTTTTTCTAAATAAATAAATTATGTAGTTTCTTCAGCTTGTTTTATAAATTTTAGCAGTAAAATTTAAACTATCAACTAAAAAACTAAATGTCAGATTTCAGTTGACACTTCCAATGCAGTGGGACTGCATTATTATTTACATTTTACACTAAACATTTCTTGACCTTTCTCTATATTTTTGCATGATTCTCATTTGGCATTGGATGTCATGACCGAATGGGCAATACAAATTCATTCTTCGTTCTTCACTAACATAGGGACTAAAGTGTTGTTGGTTTTCTTTAAAAAATTGAATGCGTAAAATTACACACAAAGTATGTTGTTAATTATTTTTTTAAAAAAGTAAAGATACATTTTGTTTGTTTTCAAAACAAGATCTTGGTGTTTTGTATTAAAGTTATTTTTATATAATATTTTTGTTTTACTTATTTTTTGCTGGTGTTGTGCAATATCATAGTGTAGCCGTCAAAGTCTGAGCGCTTATGCTGCGGCTTCCTCCTCTTCTTCCTCACCCTTGCCTGTAAGCATTTCAATAAGGGCAGCGGTATCGATTTGGTTCTTGTCGTCGATGACAAACTGATCCCAGGCATCGTCGCACTCCTTGGCGCTGAATTTGTCACCGAAGTTCATGAGTGTTTCGCGGAATTTGTCACCATCAATGAGACCGTCGACATCGAATGATTTGAAGGCAGCGATGACAACATCGTCTTCATCATTGGCACCGGATGATGCCATACGGTTGGCGAACAAGGTCAACAATTGGGTGAAGTTGATGGGGCCGGAGCCCTCACCCAACATCTGGTCCAATTCCTTATCAGCGGCAATTTTGCCTACGGAATCGAAAGCAGCACGCAGATCGTTCTTGCCAATGATGCCATCTTTATCGGCATCCATGAGTTGGAAAGCCTAAAGAGAGAAAAGAGAAAAGCGTGATAAAAATCAGTTAAGTTCCGATTGAGCATGTTATCTTTGGCTTATGCATAAGTGTAAGTAAGCAATATATTATATGTATGTACATATATAATTGTTTTTTTTTTTTTTACTTACTTCCTTGAACTCGGCAATCTGTTTCTGTGAGAAAACAGAGAACACACTGGAACCAGCGCGCTTCGATTTCTTTGAGCCACGTGAGCCACCTGACGCTCTCTTCGATCCAGTGGTTGAGGCTGGAGCTGGAGTGGCAGCTGGTGCTGGGGTTGCGGCCTCAGATGCGGCTTCAGAGGCGGTTTCAGAAGTACCTCCCTCTTCCTTGGTCTTCTTCTTCTTAACCTTCTTCTTCTCATCGGCCTATTAAAGATTGGAATAATTATATAACGGTTTAGATATGTATTGGACTATAAAAAAAAGGCGATGATCATGGCTTATATAAGGAATGTATTTATTTACTTAATATAATATGTTTAACCTTTAAATATTCAATATGACCGCGTTTGGAATTGGTTCTGTTAGGATTTGAAAAGCTATTAAGAGTAAATCAGATGACGAAAAAATTGAAAAATCCATTTCATTTTTATGAACCCTTTAATGAGGCGATTTTTCATTCGTCGTGATGAAGATTCGAAACGATTATGCAATTTAGAAAATCCACTACATGTAAGCCTTTGCTCATTTCGTTCATTACATATCCATCAATGTATTGGTATATCGTATTACGAATTCCATTTATAGTAATACCAAATGGAACAATCGAGTAATTCATACAAAACGTAGGAATTTTCGGCGTAGTCGGTTTCCCGTCATTGCATTCGTATTTTTAATGTTTTACGTTCTACATGTGCATATGTATGTTAGATATCGACGAGTATCGTTATGTCGGAAGTTTTCGCTTTTCGCTCTTTGGTTCGTTTTTTTTTATTGTTATATACATATGTTATAAATGTATATGCATTTGAAGCTTTTCGTTAATAATAATTTTCTTTTTTGGAGAAATATCTTTGTATGGGCATGTATGCACATATACATATGCATACATACATACATTTGAGTTTTACATTTCACACATTTATCCTTTAATATCTCTGGCAGTAACCAATGCTTGATCACTTATGTAAATATGTATCGCACTCAAACAATTTTCGAATCACTTTTCACAATGTTCAATTGTTCCATTGTTCCATTACTAATCAATTTACTTTCGTCACTCACTTGTCTGATTTGTGTAATATTTTGAATATTTAGGTTATAACGGTTAAAGATTAATACATCCTTTCACAAAGCTAGTTCACTATGAATCCTTACCATGATGCTAAACTTTTTTCTGTGTTGTCTAAACGGATCGAGCGGTCAGAGCACACTGAGTGTTCTGGCTGATTTTATCGTGAAGACATTATTTCTTTTGTAGAATTTGCGCCCCGAATCTATCCAAACACACATACGGCCAACTACCCATACCGATGCAAGTGCGCTATGTATACATGCGTCATCCACACCTTATGTGCCTCCTTGGGATTAATAGAGCCATAGAACGTCAGTTCGGCCTTCGGGCGTCGACGTCGAGCTCCACCGTTCGTGCACATACATATATTTGTGCTACCTTTTTTAGTAGCTGTGCCGTCGTCTGCCCGGCCGTTTGGTGGGGTATATTGGCCACTTTCATGCCTGCACCTCATATACATCTCCGCATGTTGTTCGTTTGGATGCGTATGCAGATGTAGACAAACAAACATGTGTGTGCGCTTGTGTTTGTGCTGGTATTTAGGTGTGCGCACTTTTTCTGCGCATTTTTTGATGCTCGAAGAAAGTCTAAATTTAAAAAATTTTCTTTTTCTTTTCAGTTTTAGTGTTTCACTCGATCGCATTGGAAAACACTAATAAAGATGGTGGTACCTAAATGTATGTTTGTATATATTGACCACTTTTTTGTGTATTTATATATTATGGCCGAAAGTAATGGCCTGATCGAGAATTCTGTACTGACGAAAACGAAATTTTTTCAATTTGTTTTTTTTTTTTAGTTTGCATGTTATTCTTTTATTTTTTAGTGAACTTTTGTTTTTGTTATGTGAACTCAGAATTCGGTCGAAATCACCGACCAAGTGAATTTTCCCATATTACTGTTAATACATACATACATACATAATCTTCTATTTTTCTTCCAGTATTCATGTACGAGCTTACATATGTACATTCATAGCACATTTCATATGTATTATTTTTATATGCATTAGGAGCCATAACATATGTATATAAATATTCACCCACACCTTAAAATGAATCTGGGAATTGAATCCGTGGCATTCTGAAAGAATTCGGCCGCAGTACGCAATCGATTGGGTAACAAACATTTATATATGTATGTACATACTATGTACGTGCTGCTACATATGCAGACAATATTGGGCAATAACATATACATATATGCATGGGTGTACATCATCGGACTATACATTGGTATACACATACATATGTACTCGTATATGCACTTTAGAATCCCTTTTGCTTAATTGAAACTCAAGACTAATTTCGAAATGAAATTATTTATGCTGTATTACTTTTCTACTGTACAATTATATAATTTTGTAGTGGCCAGATTTCAATTTACAATATTTATTTCAATAATTATTTACATATATCGTGCTTTGGTAGTCCAGACAATAGCTCTGTTCGGCGAGGAAAGTCAGTTAAAATTAGCCAGTAACGAAATTGAGGGAGTAAGATGTTAAAATCTTCTAAATAGGATTCAGTAAGAGTTAGCCAGCGAGCAGTACAATCTCTTTCGCTATTTCCTGCTTTTAAGTATTTCCATAGGTATTTTAATTAAATTAGTAATTTTCAGCAATTTTTTTTTTATTTTGAGCAAACGTTATTCTAATTCTAGAATGGGGTAATGTATTTTTTTTGATAGTCCGCTGAAGGGTGAAGATTCATGTAAGACTTGCACTTCAACCTTCGTCGCTTTCAGAAGCTTGAGGAAGCATTATCGTCGATGTTTCATTGTAAATTTAAATAACCCACATTCAGCGTGCATTGTACAAAACCACAAATAAATTCTATACATACGTGTGTGTATACTCTGTATATTATGCCTTAAACCTTCGTATATTCCAGTTCCTCAATGTAGGATGTGTTGCGAGTGACCAATGATATCACTCCACGACAACCACGTTTTCGTTCAATGAATACCTTTTTATGCTGTTGTTGTAACCGCAAAATTATTCCCTAAAGTACTTTTTGGAGAATATTGCGGGAGTGACAGTCTTTGACCGGATAAAAATCCGAGTCGTTCCGGTATAAAGATCCGACTGTCGCGGGAACTATTGGATTTTAGTCACCTTTTACGACAGGCATGTCTTACCACGGGTAAATTCTTGAACCCCTAACCCGCAGGGGCTATAAATATGTTTTATTGATTGCTAATTCTTACTTATTGAAAAATTTGCACGGATTCGTCACTTCAATTCGAACGAAACGTCAAAGCTGTGCTCTCTCGTTGGAAAATTTACAGCATCAAAACCTTTATTTGGTAATGGAAAAAGTTTTGCTTTTTAAAGACAAAAATGTATTTCTGGAAAAACCCGGATATCTCTATATTTCTAAGTGAGAACCTATTGAGCGTCTTTTTACAAAAGCATTTTGTTCAATTGATGCGGACATCTAATAATTTGAATTAATTTTTCACCTGTCCCTAACATATGGAAGCAACATTGTAAACAAATTGGGTATAATTTCAATCAACCAAATGCCAAGGAGAATATTTATGAAATAGTTAAATTAACACATCTTGTATATGAGTTTTACCAAATTTTAGAATAGGAAATTAGTGCATATGATTCTCTGACTTCAACGTTTCTTTAGTCCAAAATTGTTCCCAAAGAAAGTTGGAGAAGGAGGGGAAGGGGTATGACTCACCGTTGGCTATAAATACATGACAATGCATACTTTTTGCAGAGCAGACCGATTTGGATTATTCTTTTTTTTATTGGATAGGGTACAATTTTCCCATAAATTTGAAACAAAAAATCTTTTCTTAGGGCAAAACCGGATGTTTTTATTATTCATTCATATTAAGTAGTATAGTAGTAGATCATACACGTAGCCACTAAAATTTATGGAGTAAAAGTTTTTTATTAGTTCTTTTGGAGCTTTATTCTTTTTTTTTTTGCTCAAAAGGTTTTATTTAAAGTTCTGAAGACCTCAACTGTCTTTTTTATCGATACAATGGAGGAAAATATGCAAAAATAAGCGTTAACGAAAAATAGAAGAAGCGCAAAAAATGTTCGTTGTCCTAATGGTTTTATTTGAGGACAATATACAAAAATAGTTACAGATTAATTTGAGGGAAATTGTATATTGAATATGGCCCTTAATCAATCCCTTGCTAAAGTTCTCCAAGATGCTAAATACATCTTAACATGCTGGTTTCTTCATTATTGAGCTAAGTGGTCAAAATAAAATACTTTGAGAACAAACTAGATTGGTATGTTGATCAAAACGAGTTTGTTTTTCATTTCCATATGTAATTGATTTTTTCTGTTTATACTTAAATTTGGCGAATGAATTAGTAAAGTTTCGTCCCTAGGAATTACTGTGAACTCAAAATACATTCCATTGTTTGTTTTCTTGTTTTCTTACTGTTTTACTTTTATAATTTGATTTTTAAATACGATTGGTTTCAAATCGAGTGTGACTTGACAATAAGTCACAATGAAATCTAAAAATATTTACATCAGAAGAGAAAACAAACTTTTAATAAAACATCGGAGCAAATACATACAAGCATACTACATACTATCCAAGTGTATATGCTCGTATGGGCTTCAAATGCATATGTAAGTATGTACGACAAATTACATTTTTAAATTCAAATAAACATATTGGTATCCTCATTGGCAAAAAGCCCGAAAATTGTTCTAGAGATGAATCAACGGCAAATAATATAATATAAATAGAAAAAACAGTGGATATTGAGTGACCAGACATTAATAATCTTCGTTTCTCATTGGAACTATACTTAAAAAAGATTGACTATTTAGAGAAGCAAAAAATGAAAAAAGAAATTGGTATGAAGATTTTATTAATTTATATTTATTTTAAATTAGTAGATTGAAAGCAGTTCGTACACAACGTGCAAATGTAGGACCAAATAAAATATTGAGTATAATTAACAACTGAATTAAAAATATTAGTAAAATTAAAGTACATGCTATATAATTAATGATATGTTTATAAGCATTATTGCTGACCACATTTTGACGAAAAATTGTGCAATGCGTTCTTCCATATTAGTAAAAAGCAGCCTAGATGCACATATATAGTTAAATCTTGGAAAAATGAGATATAAAGAGAAGTTAAATTTATTATGCATATATGACGGGTTCTTACTGAAAAACATTAAAAGAAAAGAAAATGCAAATACGCGTTTTTAGGAAATTTTGTAAATCATAGTCAAGTATAGAGTTGCACATATATATGTTCGTATATCTTTAAAATAAATACCCTGCGGCTGAATTATTGGTGATGTTCAATTTAGCCAGTAAATGAGGGTCGGATTTGCCGTAAACAACTTCAAAGAATGTCATATAAAGAACAATTCAAAATGTATTTAACATTTTCTTAGTACCGTTTCATGAGATAAAGTTATTCTACTGAATAGAAGAGATGAACCCTGCGGGTTAGGGGCTCAAGAATTTAACCGCGGTAAGGCATGCCTGTCGTAAGATATACCGGAACGACCCGGATTTTTATCCGGCCAAGGACTGTCACTCCCGCAAAATTCCCCAAAAAGTACTTTGGGGAATAGTTTTGCGGTACAACAACAACAACATAATGTTATTCTAAGACATCGCTAAGAAAAAATTATTTTACTCACTTCATTAAGATGATCATTACACAGAAGTCGAAATTAAAGACGTAGCTCAAGTAATTGGCTAACTACCTAATTTCAGTCGATTGAAGGAAATAAATAGGGTAGGAAACTTGGAAGCCAGGTTTAGCTTCAAAAATATTAATTAAAGAAAATATTTGTTTATCATATGTACATACACTTTAGTATTTATAACAAGAAGTACAAAGAATAAACAAAAGCTAAGATTTATTTAAACCCCGACATTTTAGAACCAAGTTATTAATTTTAGATTATTGCAAACATCTGTATACTTTAGGGTAATATTATACAATAACAAATATTTTTTATACATTTATCAAATTTTTATCAAAATCATTTAACCATTCTTCTTTTCCCGAAATCCGAAAATTGCACTACCAACTCGAACAATGGTACTTCCAGCTTCGATCTAGAACATAAAAATTAAATGCGTTTATTTTTTTAGATTCTTACAGTTGTAAATTCAATTTCTGATTATACCGCATTCTCAAAGTCATCTGACATGCCCATGGACACCTGCACAGCATCCGATTCTATATTATTTTCTTCGCATATTTGACGTTGTACCTTCATAAGTGAAACAAAATCTGGATTTGGACCAGTGGAATAGTCAAAGCCAAATGCTCCAATAGTCATAACACCTTCTAGTTTAAGATACTTCAAATTCTCTTTTATATACTTGTATAGCGCTGGAGCTTCATTTGGATGTACACCATTCTTTGCTAGTAAATATTATTGTTCGTATTATTTTAATTAATTTGTACATATGTTTATTTATATACACTGGGCTACCTTCTTCGCCGCTGGTATTCACTTGTATTAATACTGATAGAAGCTGTTTTTGATCGGTTTGTACTTTTTCCCAAGCGGTATTTAGTCCTATGGCTAATTTTTCACTGTCGACAGTCTGAATCATATACAGATTAGGAAGTTTAAGAATCTGAAAATCATATAAAACAGATAAGTATAATATATGTATGTACATACATATGACCGAAAAATTTTTTTACTTTTTAAGGAACGAAGTTTCGCTAAAGAATTTTTTAGTAAATTTTCAAAGCATCTATACAAAGTATATTGATACTGAAAATTTGTGGAAATTATATATTAAGACTGAATTTATATCCTTTTAAAATGATAAATAATTTTATGAGTATTGCAATTTTCATGAAAATTATTTCCGAACATATAATTTTTTTTACCATACATATGTACATATGAGATCAAACGTTTATTCTGATAAATATGAGATATCAATGAAATTTTATCTAATAGAGTTTAGACATACCTTATTGATTTTGTTGTTTTGTAGATGACCAATGAAATGCCATTTGATATCTTGACATTGTTGCAAAATATCTGGATGCTGTGCCTTTTCTACTAGTTCTTTGACATAATTTTCTCCAAAGTGTCGCTGACCAGTGGTGTATGCTTCGATGATCATTTCCACCGGCTTTGTTTTGCTAACTGCTACCAGTAGCGGCTTTGGCTGTTTGTTGGGCTGTTTAAATTCGGAAGCATATATTCCATAAAGAAAAAAGCATATTGAAATGGAAATACCGTGTTTCTCCTAGCGTAGGCTTCATCTATTCGCTTCAGGATGCATTCCAGCCCTGCTCTAACATTCACGTCGGACATTGGGCGTAACATAAAATTGAAGGTTGCTATTATTAAAACCAGTTACTTGATTACGTATAATCTACGTGAATGATAAGAATTATATATTAAATTACGTTTATACAAAGCTGTAAATAAAACTAAATAAAAAGAACAAATGTCAAGCGAAGGTTGTCAACCAGCTGCTCTAAAAATTGGTGACATCTACCGGTGAGCCCGGCAACAAGAACCCAGGGCGGAGAATGTTGACAGAGTATGTTAACAAGAAAGTTTGTTAACAGAGGATGTTACGTCACATCAGATTTCTTAGCACGTACAAGACCCAATAGGGGACCGGTCGAAAGTGAAGACGCGACCCAATAAGGGACTGGCAAAAGGCAATATCGCACTCAAATTGCTAGAAGCAAAGAACGTATATTAATATACGTTTTTTGGATTTATTAAGAAAACTTGTGAATGAATTTTAAATGATTAAAAAATGAATAAACAAGAAAAAAATTATGAAATACGATCGTATATCTGCCAATATTGACAATATGTTAATGCCGGTCACTTCAAGTTTCACTTCGAAGTTAACTCGAAGATATTTTAAGTTGCATAAAGCCCATGAATGTTTTTCAAAACTCAACCAGAAAAAATCTTAACATCTGAAGAAACTTTCGTTGAGTTTGTCAATATTTAATTTTATACTAAATAAAACAAATGCAAAATTAACTGTAATTTGTTTTCTGTAATTTTTATTCCATTGCTTATAACTGGCAACCCATTACAGTTATTTGTTGCCCACTCAAAATCTTAAAGACACTTTCTGACCAAAAAACATTCAAAGATTTGTTCATATTGATAAAACCAAATGGATATGTATATGTACGTATGTATGTATGTAAATAGAGCATATGCGAGAACGAAAATTCACCAGGTGAATAAATGGCAGCCAATAGAACGACAGCTGTTGATAAAGATTCCCAAAATATCGAACAGCAATTCAGCTTGTACAAACAAACATATCCCCTCGCATTTTTTTGTTTGATTTCAAAACTTAATCACTCATCTGCCTCCTCGGTCTTCAACACTTCATCCATTTCGTTTTTCTTTGTTGTCGTGGATAGTTGTGGTCGAGAAGATCTTCGCCGCTCTTCAATGTTGGAATCAATCTTTGCTTCTTTAACAATTTCCGAAGTAGTTGCATTAAGTATAGACCCTTTTGCAGGCATTTGTAGTAATGTTTCTTCTTTAATTTGTGTTTCCAAATCCGATGATGCAGTTTTGGGTAAATCTACAATAAAAGGATAGTTGCGCCTTTCATCAGCGTTACCCTTACCTTCGTCGTTGGGCATGAGACCACTAGTGTTGGCAACCACTGCAGCGGCGGCCGCGGAAAGGCGAATTGCTGCTTCTGGCATTATACTTTCCCACTGAAACGCAATGTTCAGCTTAGTATTAATACGCTGGACGGTGAACTATTACATCACATTTTCTAATACATACCATTAAGAATATACCGACTGTTACCCAAAACGCTACTACCAACACAATCATAAATTTTGAAAGCTCAAGGAATAAGAAAGATATCGGTCCCACTGTTATTCTGATTAGGATTGTCCTTAAAAGGCAAACTACACTGCCTATACCATACGCCATTGTGCAATTGGTGGCACTACTCGACGAAGTTATGGAGACTTACTTTTTCAATTGCTCAACGGAAAATTTAGATACGTATTTATTTATTTATTTTTTACTCTAATTGTCTTTTCGGAAAATAAATTTTTCTTGTTTTGAGTTCTACTTCGTATAGATATTTTCGTAAGATAAAAAAATATACATACATATGTACATATGTATGTACTATGAATACTTTTACGATTTATTTATATTATTATCCACACGCTCGTACAACTTCTTCTACTCCTTCTACTTGTACAACTTCTTCTACTCCTTCTAATAGCCGAATTCTTTCACCTGGTCTTTTCAACGGAGTGCACATCTTCCGCTTCTTACTCCGCTACTGCATCAAAAACTTTCAAAACTGGAATATTTTTATCAATCCGTACCACTTTATCGCTGTCTCTTGTTTGCTAACAGCAGATATTTCGACTTGCCCGTGGCGCGGTTGATGTCAATATCATCGGCGTATGACGGCAGCTATGCACTCTTATAGAAGATTGTACCTTTATCTTTATTCAGCTTTGCAGCATGTATTATTTTCTACAGCAATAAATCAACACTATAAAGAGCCACTTTGAAATCTCGATTGGTATCGGACGGCTCGGAAAGGTTCCTCCCGAAACTGACGGAGTTTTGGTGTTGCTTTAAGTCAACTTACTCAGCCGTATAAGTTTACCGTGGGTACGATAGTCATATCGGGGTGGAGTAAGCTTCTTTTCATGCTATCTAAGGCTACTTTAATCGACGAAGTGGTCGATCCACTATTCCCTACCCGTATTTAAGGTCAATAGCCACACTGATAAATGCAATCAATTTGTTGATAGTGGGCTTTAGTTTTTCGCACAATTCACTCGAACTTCGATAGGACCTTTTATGCGATATTGAGGAGACTGCAGATGCAGACTGTGGGATCCTCATTTTTGTGGATTAGGCTCAGCACACTCAGGTTCCAATCGTCGGATTCGCCACTCACTGGTGTTCCATTTTTCCCGCCATTCAACAGACTGGACAAGTGCTTCCTCCATAAATTCAGCGTACTCTGGGCCAGCCACTAGATCACCTTTCTGGTTCCTACAATAGTTTGCTTTGGTCCAGAAATCATGTGTATGACGTCATATCTTTTCGGCTTCATCATTTTTTCTCTACCTTGCGGCACGGCAATCTTCCTCGTATCGATCTGTAGACAGCCAAGTAGGTTGGGCATGGGGACAAAGCCGCTATAGGTAAAAAAATTTCGCATTGAAATTTGAGTTGAAAAATTAATAGACGAAAGACTTAAATTTAAAAAAATCTCTAGACCAGTCTGCTTTCCAGCATCTAGTGTAAGACACATTCGTTATGTGTGTATGAGTAACTCTTCTCCGTATAAAAATGATAAAAAGCTCTACGCAAAGCATTTCGTTGCTTCCAATCAATGAATTGAAAATATGCAATAATTTTGGGGCAAATTAGCTAGGCGTTTCAGTGGCCAGAAGACAGGTTTCTATTCACGCACACGTTTTTTTATACATACGAGTATGTACATACGTGTATGCATGCATTTCAGAGATGTTTAATAACTAAATACATACATACAATTTACAAGCGCATGAAGTCCAACTGTTTTCTGTATAATTGTTTACTCGTATATATTAGTTTTTATTAACTTATTTCTTCTTACTCCACTTTCTTTCCTCGATCAGCGCATTGTTGACATGTTTCGTATTGCTCTTCTAAAAAAAATTCAAGAGCTCGCTTAGTTTTCGGGTTTTTTAATTTGCACACGCGTATGTGTCTGTTTGTAAATATTTATGATGATTTCTACATACTCGTATATATGTATGTATGAGCATATGTTTCGTAACTTCGATCTTAAAATACCTTTTTCTCTTGCGATAATCTTTTTTATATTGATTGCATTCATGGGATGAAAAACTATTAAGGTGGTTCACAAATAAGTTTAAAAATGTACTCACTGCTAAATTATTGCTGGAATCACCAATAAAGGAAGAACTACAAACTCTTTATCTAAAATGTATGGTTGCAAATCTCTCTTTAGAGGGTCGCAGCCAAGAATTAAAGCTAAGCCATAACCAAAGGCGGACACGCTGGTGATTCTCTCAGAACAATCAATCAATAACCATAGCAAATTCCTCTCGGCCACGAAACGATCAAACACAACTATATATCAACGAAATAAAATTCGTAAGAGTTTAAGAAAGATTTTCGAATTTTTGATAATATATCCTAGAGCTCTCTTCATATATGCTACAATGTCATTTGAGAATGGAAAACGATACTTCATTATACCACCCTAATATGTTTGTAGGCACACATGTGCTTGTCCGCAGCTATGTAATTGCACATACGCGTAATATAATATATTTTTGATGCTTGCACAAGGTGACGGTCATTGTTTGTACCATGAATGTGTGTGAATGTATGTTATGCACATGTACATACTTTATAAATTGTTTCTGTTTCATTACAGGTAGACTGAAATATACTCGGGAATCAGTTTCGAAATTGATCGTGTGTACTTGTGAGATATTCCTTTCGACAAACTCCCAGATATATGATTCCACTGTGTAGACGGGAAAGGGGGACTTAATCCATGTCACTTGAATCTCGGAGACTTACATGTGTAAGCGCTATAATTTCTGTTATAAAACTATAATTAATTTGAAGTTAATTTTTGTAAACTGGCAATCAATAATTTTTCTTAGCAATTATTAAAATTTGAAGCATAGTATAGGAAGAAATAAATATTCTATAATATGCCCTCCGTGATAGTGAGGCTTGAGCACTAATATTTGAGTATTGGTAGCAAAAAAAAAAAAAGATCGTCATAGATCGTCATAATGGAGTTTGGTTATATAAGAGTATGAAACAACTACCCAATGTCTCCATAAAGGGCACTTGTGTATGAGAAAACTAGAAACTTTATATGTGCTTACATGGGCAAATGGAAGATGCAGAGCCTGGAACTAATCGAAAATCTTCGGAAGGTGCCTCGCCGTCGGCTTACCGCCCCTATCTATAGTTAACAACACAGCGAAGGTGTTGGGGCATGTACTCAAAACTCGTCTGGAGGGTCGCACTCTTTTTGGGATACAAACAATTGATGTGCAAAATTCTGGATTCACATATTAAATGCCCTAAAGCGCTTCAATGTACCGCCGTAAAACTAATCTTACATGCACCGCTCATGTAAGCTCAGTTGTAAGTAAGGTCTAGTTCACTCTGAGGAATCTTAGACAGTCGGCTTCCTATACGCCCACGTTTACCAGACATGGACTTGTAATGCAAATTATTCCTCCAGTTATTATGTAAACTGAAGTCATACACAGCAAACATGACAGTGCGTCTGCTGATAAAAATGATGTTATGTTTAATAACGTCTCACTGTATGTCTATGGTCGTATGGGAAAAATCAGCTTTTGGGATGTACGATCGCCAACTATCATGAAGCCAGTAATTGAACTCATTGTGATTCAATCTCCTTGCTATCCTTTTCCCAAGTAACCTTTTACTCGATCCGACAGAGCAGAAGATATTAGAATACCTTTTTTAAATAAACAATCAATTAAGTAGAAAATTCACATATACATATATGCATTTTAAAGTCCAAATTTAACTTAGACTGACCGATATGACATCGGTCGTGGTTGCAAAAACACTCCCGCTTAAAAATTGCAAACGTAACGCAAAAACAAATCAAGAAAGCAAAACTTAAACGAGCACAGCGGAGCAGACGAATCAAAAATGCTGAAACACTTCTGCTCATACTACGTTTGCAGATAAGATGGAATAATGGTGCAAAGGGAAGGTGGACTCAGCGTCTGACACCGAAGCTAGTGGTATGGCTAGGAAGAAAGTACGGACAGGTGGACTTACATTAAATCTAGTGGTCAGATGCTTTAAAAGCTACCTTCACCGCTTTTGTCATGAAGAGAACCTAGACAACGAAATCCATGGTTCAGAACTTCCGGAAATTTTAGGTAAATGCTTACTGGGAAGAGAAAACGCCTGCAATGTAGCTAGCAGCAGAGGCGAAGGCGCGATAACAGCGCACCATCGACGTACACTTATGTTGACCAGATAAGTTGAGTACGTGGTCCATAGCGGCGAGTACAGAAACCAGGGCGACTGAAACAGACGACAACGGCCTCCTGACGAAATACCGAAAAGTAGTATCAGGCGTTAATGTACGGGGTATGGCGATCTAATTGAATGAAAGTCCCGCATTGAGGGGGTTGGGGTTTTCAATGCTTTTACTTCTCTCCGAAAAAAACAAAAAAAATCATTAAGTGTCGATGCATAGGAGTTGATATACGTAAATATATGCATATCTGTATTATCGATTGTGTGGAAATTCAATAATAATTGCAAAAATAATAGCTTTATGGTCTAAAGCTTTTCAAGAAACAAAAAGCACGACGCCTAAAACTAATTAGTGCGAGTAAGTAGTAATGGAAAATATGTGCTTGTATGTCTGTGTGTATGTATGTTTGAGGTATGTGCATATGTATTCTACGTGCTTTACAACTTCTATTTTTCAATGTCTTTAGCTTCTGCTATTTTTTTACATATTAGTACATACTCACATACATACATATTAATTGTTCTTTTATACCTTTCATTCACACAAAATAGTACAATACATTAACATCTGCTCGTCTGTTTGAAAATAACCCTACAGGGGAAAATACTAGTTGTCAACTAGAATTCGAATAGTCTATATTTTTACACCAACTAATTCATCTTCATCCATTTTGCATGTAAGCAACTGGTATTTTTAACACGACGATGTCCTACGAGCTGAAAAACGAAATGAAAACAACATTCGAATGGCGTGGAGATACTAATTTCTGTTTCTCCAAAAATTAAAAAAAATTAAATTTAAAAATGAATTTGCCTTAGCGATAACCTCTAACCACTCGGATATCTTGACGATGCAACTATCAATGTCATTTTGCCCACTTCAATAGAACAGAGCAGAGAATGGAATTCAGCTGCGGTCTGCCGATATAAAAACAACAGTGGTGGAAATTGTTATTTCTCCCGTACTGGTGGACTTCTTAACAAATAACGAACCGATATGATTTTATCTTCAACATACTAGTATTTAGCTAGAATTTTTGCATACTAGTTGGTTACCCCTGCAGGGAAGCTAGGCCCTCAGTTTACTGGTACATTTAAACTATTTGAGAATTAATATTTAATTCCAAATTAATGGTCATGAAAGGTATAAAAACTTCGGAGTGGCCGAATTAAATTTTGCATCTATGCACCTAAACTCAATAATTATGCGCAGTATGTATGTAACTACATTTACTTGTATTACTTGATTATGAATATATGTATATAATTTCGATTGTACACAAAAAGGTGTATGTTAGAAACATAAGCTTTTTCGCCACAATTTCAATACAAAGAATTTCTGCGGCTCTAAGCTTCCACTGATCTTAAGGCCGAATCGCAGCAATCGCAGCAATCACTATTTGTAAAACACAAAATTAAATACACCAAAAAATACGCACTTTTATGTGTGTAAAGCGCTGCAAGGTTAGTAGATCTATTTTTGGAACTAAAATCACACAAACGCCAAAACGGTCCTACACTTCAACTAAGCAGCGCTGACTTAACTCATGGCTAACTTTAACTTTAAATAAACCATAATTAACATACGAAACTCGATGTCTAAACTAGTATTTTATGCCTACAATATTGATTGTTTATTTGTTTCCGATTGTAAAAGAATGCCAACCAAACATATTTTGTCACTGTCGAAATTTGTTCTACGCGTGGTTGGTGTCGAAAGAATTGAACTGAAAGGTTTGGCCCCTCTAATAAACAAGCACAAGTATTGCTGATTATCAGCATTGCAATAAATATATACACGTATAAAAATGACTGGATCCGACGTATGGAAATTCTAAATTGGCTTTGTTATGTACTGCAAACACATATTTTTTTACACTGAGAATCATTTCCAGGCTCCGATTAAACGTCTGACCAAACTTCCAAAACTAAACACAGAGAATTTTTCTAAATGCGGTCTCTGAGTCCATTTCGGGCATGAAAATCCAAGTTCCTCATAAAAAACCCTCAGACTGGCGGAGACGGGTTACTTTTAACTGTGGGTCCCTCCGTTTGTTGGAAAAACATGTTGCAACATACCTACTTAGTAAAAAAAAGTAATGTCTCCAGTTTTCTTTAAAGGCCGGTGGCAACACCCAAATATGGCAAGCTGACATTCGCGCCACGTGATTACTATGCTCAGGTCTACAAATACAGTAACACGTGCTTACAACAAAACATTAATGCAAAACTCTAAGAAACCATTTTGGTAAAACCGTTTTTTTGTTGTGTAAAAATATTTATGTGTGTTTTTTATATTTTTTTGAAAATTAGGCATAAATAATTAATTTATGCAAAACTAAGTTGATACATATTCATAATCTGTGTGTATGTATCGTAAAGGGAGTGTGTTAGAAAACTATTTTTAAAATGTAAAATATATGAAATGCTAATTTCTAGAAGACCAACAAGCTTTAAGTTTTCGTAAATTATCGAATTTCGCATTGTATTATTAATATTTTGTTATATATTCAATGTTGTAGATTGGCGCGATTATTTGGTAGCTTTTATAGTAATGGTCGACTATTTGGAGACCTTGAAATGAAAAATTAGCTGAACTCTGATTAGCAATTAAACTAAGAAAATACGTACATATGTATGTATGTTTGGGTTATCCACAATATTTTGTTAGCCGAACGTAATGCTTACACAGGTATACGAGGGTTGCATTTATATTTCGAAATTTGGCAATCCCAGTGCTGCAACTGAACTGACAACTTTATCGTAAAGTTTGAAATTTTTGATACTCAGAACATGCTCAGAACGTTTTGGAACACGAGTTCTATTTATGATGTTTACGGTAACTTAAAATATTCAAAAAAAAAAAAAAAGAAATGGAGTTAAGTCGCGCACTTTCGCGCGATAATTTTTTATAGCCTTCCACGTGGACTTACTCAGCAAGAGTAGATCGATGAACTTAATCAAATTTTTGACGTCGAAGCTCTATCTAAGTCGGGAATAATTTTCGTAGACGAGTGCGAATGAAAAGTCAAGCGGAATAGCGAAAGAAAGAATGAAGAAGAAGCAAATGTCAAAACAATTGTTTGAAGAAAGTATCTCGGTGTGAACATGAAGGCCGGCACAGGGGAAATTGCGATACAAGTTCAGTGATTGTTGATGGTATGGTGAGTTCAGTCGAGGTCGTAGACCACTCCAAGACGTGAAGGTCGTCTAAAATCAGTTGCTGATGCTAATATTACGATGTCGATTTTGAGGCTGTAGGTATTTGACATTCAATGTTGCACGAAATTTGACTGTAGAAACGTGTTCCCGTTGGATACCACACAATTTGTCAATGCCTCAAAAAAAGGCTCATGTCGATCGGTCGGTGCTTCTAAACATTTCTATAATATCGTGACAGGTTATGAATCTTGAAACAGCAGTTGACTGTATAAAGGTTAAAAGATGAGCCATAGTCAACAAAAGTGGTTCGAGTACTTCCAAGCAAATGGTTGCTTGTTTTTACAAAAAGTGAACATGGGTCAATCGCACACAAAAGTGTATAAATAATACTGAAGAATTTTTTGAAATACATTAGCCGGTTTTTGATGAATAATATTTGTTTTTTCTTTATTCCTGAATTAAGAAAAGCAGCCCTCGTATTAGGTTCTTTCCACTAACTGTGGTGTGTAAAAGCATAATAAATAAATCTGGC